ATACATACTTAATTTCAACTATATATGACGTGTATATAAAATATATATCGAGTTTATGTTGTGCATTTTGTAACAAGGTTTCCCAAAGTTCTCTGCAATCTAATGAAAAGAAAGTTGAAAAACTGGAAGTCTACAAATTGACAAATTAAAAAAGGTGATTTTAAGCATTTAAAACTGCTCTGATTAAGTAAAAAAAAACTTCACTCTACCAACCAAGGAATGGAGCGTGTCCGAGAGGCACGACCACCCAGGAGATGGAGCGATGTAAAGCAGCTTGTGGGAAGGTGCCAGGTGGATTTTTGCAACGCTGGATCGTGGGAGGTGACGGTGGCTTGGGCAGGCCTTCATCTTGCAGAGGAATTCACCATGCTTGTTGATGTTGTTGATTGCAATTACTGTATATCAATTAAGAAAAAGTTAAACTAAAATCAGGCATTGGTATGAAATTTGTTGAAGCTGTCGTAGTATTTGAGGTTAACCGCATTTGTTTGTATCTGCCTGCGTTTAATGTTTCGTTTCAGTGATAGCGGGGCCATTTTTGCATTCTTTGTTGCTGACTCTCGGGGGGGCTTGGGCCTTGAATGTGGTTGGCGATGAACCTGCTGCAGTGTTTGTATCTCTCAGAGCTCGCCTATTCCATCCCGATAAATCGCTCAAACAATTCAACGACTCCGACACGCATTTAAAGTTTTGCTCAACTGTTGTGCTTAAGTAAGTAGCAGGCAGACACAAAAAAACCCTGTCTCCCAATGGTGGGGAAAAACATGGTAAAACATTTTTAAGATCGTGCTTTTCTATTTCACAGGTTATCACGGTGACCGATTTTTTTTCATATTCAATCAGGAGTGCTTGTTTTTGTACCGATTTCTCTGTGAAGACTAATCAACCTATTTACGCGAACAAATATTAGTGAATAAGCAAATCACTCAAAATGTGAAGAAGAAAAACATTAATTACCCTTTTCTTTCTTGTGCCTTCTTTTGATGCTCACCATGAGACGTGAAAGGTTCTGAGCATGTCAATTTTCAGCCCTGGCCTACCCACTGCTGGATGAAGGTCTCCCCACATTGTTGCCGTCCTTCAAGCCTTGCTCTGTATTGTTCCCGTGCACGAGCGTATTTCATTCCTGCACCTCTGTGGTTATCTACCATTCCATCACCAGTATCATCCATCAGGCAAAATCCGTTATATTGATGCACATGCCCCAAGCCCACCTAATTCCCTGAACAGTCGAAGTTATACCTCTCATTTTCCTTCTCAGATTCCTGTGTTCTTGCTTCTGTCTATCGGTGTAATTGCAAGCATGTACCACCTCCTTTCTTGATGCACTTTGAAGTTTTTGTTCAATTGTAATTGTCACTGTCTATGTTCAGATCCACGTGTTCTCATGCGTAATAGACCCTGATTGAAAGCATTCTTCGTCTGGCACATGTTATTTAGCTTCTCTCTCATGATCAAGTTCAGTTTTCAAATCGTATTCCATTCAGTGCTCATTTGCCTCTTCATTACACAGTTTTAAAATCTGAGCCCCTTTAAATAAATTCCCCCTGTAATGCATTCACTAGTGTATTTTTCAAGTGTGTCCGGACAACACTCATCTTCTATTGATTGGCTTTACTGGACCCCCCCCCAAAAAAAACACTCCATAAATATAATTAATCGGGTTTCCTGCACTGATGGCCTTCACGCGACAGAATTAAGCTCTTTTAAAGAGACCTGTTAGATAGCGACAATGGGAGAAGACTGAACTGTCGCAGTGTGACTTACTTTTTAGGCTGCAAGGCCTTGAGCAGAGTAATTGATGTCAGCATACAGTGAGGGAAAAAGTATTTTATCCCCTGCTGATTTTGTACGTTTGCCCACTGACAAAGAAATGATCAGTCTATGATTTTAATGGTAGGTTTATTTGAACAGTGAGAGACAGAATAACAACAAAAAAAATCCAGAAAAACGCATGTCAAAAATGTTATAAATTGATTTGCATTTTAATGAGGTAACGAGCTTAGTTTAGGAGCACACTCTTAAAGGGAGTGCTCCTAATCTCAGCTTGTTACCTGTATAACAGACACTTGTCCACAGAAGCAATCAATCAGATTCCAAACTCTCCACCATGGCCAAGACCAAAGAGCTCTCCAAGGATGTCAGGGACAAGATTGTAGACCTACACAAGGCTGGAATGGGCTACAAGACCATTTCCAAGCAGCTTGGTGAGAAGGTGACAACAGTTGGTGCGATTATTCGCAAATGAAAGAAACACAAAAGAACTGTCAATCTCCCTCGGTCTGGGGCTCCATGCAAAATCTCACCTCGTGGAGTTTCAATGATCATGAGAACGGTGAGGAATCAGCCCAGAACTACACGGGAGGATCTTGTCAATGATCTCAAGGCAGCTGGGACCATAGTCACCAAGAAAACAATTGGTAACACACTACGTCGCAAAGGACTGAAATCCTGCAGCGCCCGCAAGGTCCCCCTGCTCAAGAAAGCATATATACATGCCCGTCTGAAGTTTGCCAATGCACATCTGAATGATTAAGAGGACAACTGGGTGAAAGTGTTGTGGTTAGATGAGACCAAAATGGAGCTTTTTGGCATCAACTCAACTCGCCGTGTTTGCAGGAGAGGAATGCTGCCTATGACCCCAAGAACACCATCCCCCACCGTCAAACATGGAGGTGGAAACATTATGCTTTGGGGGTGTTTTTCTGCTAAGGGGACAAGACAACTTCACCGCATCAAAGGGACGATGGATGGGGCCATGTACCGTCAAATCTTGGGTGAGAACCTCCTTCCTTCAGCCAGGCCATTGAAAATGGGTCGTGGATGGGTATTCCAGCATGACAATGACCCAAAACACACGGCCAAGGCAACAAAGGAGTGGCTCAAGAAGCACATTAAGGTCCTGGAGTGGCCTAGCCAGTTTCTAGACCTTAATCCCATAGAAAATCTGTGGAGGGAGCTGAAGGTTCGAGTTGCCAAACGTCAGCCCCAAAACCTTAATGACTTGGAGAAGATCTGCAAAGAGGAGTGGGGACTTGGAGAAGATCTCCTGAGATGTGTGCAAACCTGGTGGCCAACTACAAGAAACGTCTGACCTCTGTGATTGCCAACAAGGGTTTTGCCACCAAGTACTAAGTCATGTTTTGCAGAGGGGTCAAATACTTATTTCCCTCATTAAAATGCAAATCAATTTATAACATTTTTGACATGCGTTTTTCTGTATTTTGTTGTTATTCTTTCCCTCACTGTTCAAATAAACCTACCATTAAAATTATAGACTGATCATTTCTTTGTCAGTGGGCAAACGTACAAAATCAGCAGGGGATCAAATACTTTTTTCACTCACTGTATATGAGTGAGTGAAAAATTGAATTGTCGCTTTTACATTGGTATATTTATGCGCGGCGGAAGGAATGACACTCGCAACTCTGCGGTGCGTGCCGCCGCTGATGATCAGAGGGCAATTTTTATTCCAAGGCGCTATTATTATTTGTGCGGTCAATGTATGCCTGCTGCGATGAGGAAATTGATGTTTGCCAATTGTATTGTATTCATTGTCAGAAAAATGAGGACAAACAGGAGTCTTCATTATTTTTGAAGGTCCGTATCACAAAAAGCTTACAATGAGTTATTTCTGAGGCCTGTATACAAGCAACATACGGGGGTTATGACTTCACTTTTAGTCAGCTTATTTTGTATTATTTTTTTCGATGATGGGGTGTTGCCATGGTGTAATGGTTAGTACACTGGAATGCAATCCGTAGGTCATCCATTACATCTCTTGACTAGGCAGTTGAAAAAATGGTGAAAGTTTCTTAAATCTCCCCGCCTGCCCCGCCCCCCACCTTTGTCCACCCAGCAGTAGAAATGGGTACACCACTGAGTCGGCAGGTCACGTGTGCTGGTGTAAAGAGTGGGTACTTCCACCAAGACGTCTGGGCAGTGTGAGAGGATAGGCCAAAATACCCTCTAAAGGGGAACTTTAGGGCTCCGTCTCGTGAAGACCCTTCCGCCAGCAGTGATGTGAGCAAGCAATTGTAGGGCTGCACCTTTATCTTTATAGCGTTTTTATTTTATTTTACAGAGACGATTGCAGCACTGGCCATTCAGGCTAAGCTGTCCCAGGGAGAGCTCTGGCCAGAATTATAATCCCACCCAAATCCAAAGTGTTCACATGATGTGCCCCATTGCTGCTAATACTGCTGCTGCCACTGTTTGTCCACATCACTGCCTTTCATATGTTCCATAAATTAATGCCTTCTTCGTGGTAGAGCGAAACACTACCAAGTGGAGAACGTCTGCCACAGGTGTGCAGGACTGCCATCCACTGAATACCTGGCATGTCATGAGTTGCACCCAGCTTGAGCGATTCGATTAATTGTAACGATTTGAGGTCATGCTTACAAAAAAATATGATCTACCTCCAGGCGCGCAACACTGTTTTGTTGAGCTCAGTCATCAGTTGTTTTTCGTTCGCAAAAGTAAGACTGTTAACTTTTTATTTTACCAGGTAAGGCCCACTGAGCTATATAGCTCTTTTTCAAAAGTAACCTGGCCATAAATGATAGCCCAACGAAATTTATAGCAGCCAGATACTCTAAACACGTGTCTAAATGTGGAGGGGAAAACCGGAGGACCTGGAGAAAAAAATCCACGTGACCACAGGGAGAACATGCAAAATACAATTACACAGGCGTCGGAGTTGGCAATGAACCCACGCTCTCCTGCATACTAGACGAGGGAGTTAACATCTCGCCAAAGCGGCACCCCGTGGTGTCAAGCAGTGTGTGGGAAGAAGTAGAAAATAAGTATCTTATCCTGCAGTGTAGTGGATGAACACAGCATGAGTGAGATGAAACCATATGATAGACCAAGTCCTCAACATGGCTGCGAGAAATCAATAAGGAACAGTCATCACGGTAGTTGCGACAGGACATGAGGTTGCGCAGAGCACAAACTTGGCTGACACTGGCTCCTATCCGCGTCATTTCCTATTGCAGGTACTGGAGGTCTTCATGGGCAGGCTTTCTCGGATCGGAGCTATGACACGTGGGGACGTGGCTTCCATATCCAAGTACCAGGTGCTGCTAGCGCGCGACCACTTCCGTAAGAACCCGCCGGCGCATTTCCCGGTGAGTCCACGTACTTGGACAGCTACCACTTTTGCTTGAAAACACTTCCAAACAATGTTTTCTAATGATTTGTGAAGAAAAATGTATCTGGAAACTTGTTTTTGTGTGTGTGCTGGACTTAAAGTTCGCTGTACATACTTAAACTATTGTCTGTTAGAATTGTATTGTGTTTTTATCCAGATATGTTGTTAACTATTGGTTAATTTAAATGAAGGATGAGGAACCTTTTCTAGATTGATGCCTGAAAAGGACTTGCAAATAGCTTTGGCCGGCCGTGCATTCGTTAATATTAAACTTTGATTACGCTATGATTGTTTTTCTTGGCTGTTTGCTCAAAACTACATGAAGGACAACTGCTGAGTGCACTGAAATGAGAACCACAGTATTGTTGCCAGGTAGAAAATGTTGCCCTCTAGTACTTGATTTGTGCGGCTAAAATGCTTGCAGTGATGGATACGTTTCGTTTGCAGGCTATTTAGAAGTGGTAGGGCTCATGTGATCACGGGCTGTATGAATTTAAGTCGTGGGCCATATGGCATTAAATCGTGGGCTGTATGAGCTGAAGTAGTGGGCCGTAGGAAATGAAGTCGGCGGCCGATTAACTATTGCTCAACGAATCGCAATGGAGGTGATTGTTCAAATGCCTAAAAGCAACATCAGTCATGGGGGCATGTTAAAGTCCCCAAAGTTGTCCACATATGTTCTGTTAAAACAGTAAAGATTTGTGCATTTACCTAGCTTAGGTTATTTCAGATTTCGTTTGTTTAGTCCTGGCCAATCAGTTCATGGAGCTCTATTATATTTCATTCATTGCTTGGATGTTACTATTGGCAAGATGCTCACAATACTGACCTCGTCTCAGCCAATCAGAGAGGTGAGTGGGGGAAAGGCATGCAGTCAGGAGAGATGAGACCGCTTATATTTCACATAGTAGCACTCTTGTTGTTCAGCGTTGATAACGATGTCCCCAAGTCTTTATAACAAAGCTTGTCGAGCTTTGTTTAATTAATCATTCTCACGTTAGTCGATGGCGCAAGTTCGCTCATGGCGAAATTAAATATGTTCCTGGGTCCGTCGTTTAAACACACACGTGCAGGTCTCATCCCTCTAAACCTGCACGTGTTTGCTGTGGCATTGGCAGCACACATGACGGTGAGATTTGACAGAGTCCCTGGTGTTCACCAACATTGCCGCTGCGATTTTTCGAATGCTTCTGCTATTGTGCTGTTGAAGATGGTGCCAGCTTTTAGGATAAAAAACAAGTGTATAAGAGGAAACGTGTTTACCTGCGTTGCAGTCCCTGATTTCAAAACGCACTGATTACGATTCCTTCACAGTGGCGAGATGTTAACTACCTTGTCTGGTATACAGGAGGTCGTCAGTTCAAACCTCACCCTGACGCCTATATATGTAGACTTTGCATGTTCTCCCTGTGGTCTTGTGGATTTTTCTCTGGGTCCTCCGGTTCTTCCCTCCATATTTAGAAACAGGCGTTTAGAGTATTTGGCTGCTATAAATTTCCACGTGATGAGCCACTTCGTTGAGCTATCATTTGTGGCCAGGCCACTTCTGAAAAAGAGCTGCATAGCTCAGGTTGCCTTTCTTAGCAAAATAAAAATAGGTTATAGTGTAGTTTAGTTTCATAATAAATAACGCCTTTGTGGACACCCTGACGTGCATGCAAACTGTTATTATCTTCAAATTTCTCAATCTCGTGACCTTGCTACGGTCATTTTACCAATAATAATTAATTGTTATATAGCACCTTTCATCGAAAGATTGCAAAGCACTCTTCATATGAAAATTTGAACACTCCATTCGAAACAATATACAGTACCTGGAAGAGAATAATATTCTAGCAAACAGATTGCACCAAGTCATTGGTCTAGTGCTTCCTTTCATGGCATCCATCGATGTCATGAAAGGAACATTCGTTCACTTGGTGAGTGTGCCGAATTTAGCGTGGCCTAAAAACGCCCAGGCGATTTAACAAAAACACCTGAATTGTCATATTCTTGGGTCTTTTGGTAGAGTCACGTAAATAGGTTAAAGGAAAATGACACAAATAACAAAAAACTACGACGTTTTGATCGCAACACAAGCAATCGTCTTGCGCAAGAGGCCACTGATGGCATAGCAGCTAGCTTCCTGTCGCCTGAAGCACTGCGTTGTCAGCCCTCGTCCATAACCGGCACACCATAAGCTGCAGTGCGCTAGCTGCTTACGCCATTGCTGTCACCCCCCACCACTGGTTTTGAGTGGAAGAGGAGGTTGGAATGCTCTCCTAATGCAGTGTGGTGAATTGTTTCCGTTATAGCTGGGAAAATCACTGCAGGAATTGTGATGCTTCTATGAACGAGTCGAATGTTAAAACGTGTGTATACATTAGTGAGAATCTGCGAGCGTTTGTGTGTAGATACATGTATACGAGAGAGTGAGCATCCGAAAATTTGATGTAACACGTAGGTTTTTGTAATTAACATCATGATTCATAATTTATTTTTGGGTGAGGACGCATTGTGAGCTGGCCAAATGATATTCTGACTTCCTAGATTTTCACACATGCTTTCGGAAGGAGGAACACATGGATCAGAAAATAAACACAAATCTGAGACATCATACCGACTGTTAATAAATAAAAGGCAAGATGCATCACTAGGAGAGATGATGGCCAATGGACAAGCCTAGTGATGGAGTGGCAGCCATGGGAGAGAACACTCCCAATGGGACGACCAACCACGCAGCTGGGGCAGTGAGATTGGCTGTTACTGGAGTGAGATGGATTGTAGCATTGCCAGACTGTGTATAGTGGTGACGACTTTGGGAGGCCTTCATCCAATACTGGTACGACCGCCTTGGCGATGTCACCACTACCACCACCGCTCAGGTGTTGTTTGTGTATGTGTGTGACAGGGGTCGAGGATGGGTGCGGTGGAAGGTGACTTTGCGTTGTGCGTGAGCCTCTACCACGGCTTCGAGCTCCTGTTGCATATGGGCTCGCGTTCCCTGCTGCTCTTCCTCAAGAGCATTTTGGACGGGGGCAAAGGTCAGCTGTCGCCCCTCCCCCCCACTCCTACAAATCTCCAGTCACCTCTCTTCAATGCAAGTGCCTTAGCTGGAGGATTGAGGCTTGTAACAATTTATCGTAGAAACATGTTCACAAGATACACGCATCAAATTGTGTGTAAGAGTCCGTTGTTTCCATTGAATGCAAATTGTATATAAATTATGCATATAACCAAATCATCCGGTATATGCATGATTTCATCCGACCTTGGAGGCCAAGCTAGGTTGATCCTGGATAGTTATTAGGTCTGTGACCACTGAATGGCAATACAGAGGATCTTCGTTCATGTGTTTCATGTATCTGCAGTTCAGTAAATGAATGGTCATACTTTACTTGTAAGTTAATGTGATAAAATTCAGCAGCCGGGGGTGTGTCAGCCTGACATTGACCTCAGACTGGTTCAATGCACCGCTCTCTGTGTGCATTATGTAATTAAATCACACATGCCATGCAAGGTAAACCCATTTCAGTTTAAAACTGGTTTGGAAGAAAACACGGGTTATGTAACGCTTTAAAACGTGCATTTGTCTTCGCAAATAATGCATTAGCAGAACGGAAACCAATAGGTCGCAGTCAGGGCAAAGACCATTTGTATATTTGCATGTGTTTTTGCTCTTGTTTGAGTTGCCAAGTTTTGGACATTTTCATGTATATTTTTTTCCAGATTTTTAATCGGGGAAGTTTCTAATGGGAACACTCATTAATGGTATTGGCCACATATACCAATGCAAGACTGACTGAAAAAATGGCTTGAAATTCAGTGAAGCTTTCCTGGCTGAATCATTGACGGTCTTATTGTAAATATTAACATGACTGGCTCTTTGTGTACTGTAATGTAATTTGTTCAAGGCAAGCATCAAGATCTGCCGTTTTTTTCCTCTGCCTATGACTGCCTCTCTCTTTAAAAAATTGCCCAGTTTCTGCACAGCATCTTCCAACAGACGTAGTTACATGTATAAGCAATACAAATCCAAAATAGTTTTGTATTGTTTGTGTATGTATATATATCATTAAATATATAGGAAATCAGTATTGTTAATCCACTACTGGATAAAGGACCACACAGGCAGTGTTGGTCATAGGGGGGCTGTTTGATCATAATTCATCACACTAGCCAGGGTGGGTTGGTGTCCCCAGGACCAGGTCAAACATGACTCACCACTGATGTTAGCCATTGGCTGGGAATCTAACACATTTTTGTTTGCGTTAACACATATTGTCGAGTTCATAGCACAGTGCTCTTAATATTTCGCCAAAACGCCCCCCCACACACAAACTGCGAGACAAGGGCCAATGGAATTCCATGTGGGTCATGGGGATTATTTGGACCATTTTTCACCAGTGTGGGTTTCTGAAGTAATTGTAAATATAAAAAAAATTCAATGCAACTTCAAGAATAATAATTTTTATCTAGCGTTATAAAACCATTTGTACCATCATTTTATGGTGGCGGTTGCAGCATTATTGACGTCAATGATTTCCCGCTACTTCCGTGAGATTTAAAGGTGTTCAGTTGTTTTACTACTCACTGTGCGACTAATTGAGACGGCCCGAATTGCTGGAGGCAGCAGAGAAAGCCCACCGTGCGGAGCAACGAACAGGATTTTTCCTGCACATTTCACCCCTGCGTGTCTTGGAGGAACTCGCCCCGGGGCAGTTTTGAAACTCCGTGTCTGTTCCGCTGCCCATCGCAGGGTTCATAATTAGGCATGTAAATGTGCCACTCCTGTGCGTGTGCACGTACGTGCGCGTGTGTGTTTTAAGAACGAGCGAATGGCACATTTCATGCCACTGTGACCCACATTCAATTACAGGCCATGCACCGCAGTGGTGAGTGGCAGTTGAAGCTGATAGTTTGTTTTCCTGTTTATTCATTCATCACCTCCCTCCATTAATCATTACCTCACTCCATTACCTGGAGGATCTAGCGCTTTGGTAAGTGATTTGCAGAGTGCACTTGGTCTAGTCCCTTCAACAATGTGCCCATGGCTTCCTCTGGACATGTCTCATCCCTCAACTTTTTAAAGTAATCCTAATCACACCCTCTTCTGGATGACCTCAAACCCTATTTAACCTTCAGCCACACCTTTGACCATAATTTCAAAGCGGTTAATTAATGCGATGTGTTTACTTAGCTCTGGGGACTTTTTAATGGGTGACCAGACATGGCATTGTCTGGGAATTGTATTAAAGGACAAGGGATATCACTCATCACTGGTGTTAGCCGTGGTTGCGAATCAAACTCGAGTCACTGGGTTCACTCCACCGTTGCATGGTTTACATAACCCAATTCGATGCCACAACATACACAAACCAAAACGAGTTTATTGCTAGCTTCACGATTCGACACGTGTATCGTGAGCATAAGACTTTATTTTAACCCCTAAATGTATCCATTGTGCGTACTAACATTGCTGTTCCCGTTAGCTAAGTTATGGAGGTGGGGGGGGGGACATCTGATCGCATGCAGAGAAGACGCGCGCTCGCAACGAGCTGAGCCGGAACCCCGACTTCATGCAGCTCTACCAGCGCCTGGACGAGATGTTTCGTCAAGCTGGCTCCACTCCGTTAAACACGAGCAGCATCCTGCAGCCCACCCAGGCCTCAGGTCTGACACCGTTGCTCCCCTGCCACTCGGCAATTAGTAAAACGAACTAATGAGTGAACCGATCGCCGCGACGGTGCGCACCCACCCTCGTGGAGCTGACTGCCCCACGGCTCCGCAACCACTACTCAAGTGCTGCCGCGTTCTCATTCTTGCTCCTTAGTGCTCGCTGAGCGAGTTGTGGAGCCGAGGCCCTTTGTCTACAGCCACCCCAAGCTGCGGAAGCTCGAGGAGGTTGTGCTGCAGCACTTCCAGCAGTGGCGGCAGCAGCAGCAGAAGATGGCGGTGACGGCGGGTGAGTGGTCGGCTTGCGGCTTGGTTATCGCCCTTCTCGCCAACTTGGTTGATATGTCGTCATCTTGGCGGTTAGAAATTGGGTGCGGTCAGCTGATGGTCGCGCCAAGATATGCTTGCAACAGCTTTCTCATTCATCGGTCGCAATTATCGCGACGGTCATTCATGCCGGCGGGGCGCGGTGCAGAATGAAGTTGGTTAATGACTGCGTGCAGCCTCAGCAGGACACAGCAGGAAACGGCAGGAAAGGAACTCCTCTGCCAAGAAGGAGTGAGTAGCGCAGCTGTGTTTTTCGCCCTGCGTGGGTGAACCCTGAACAGTCCTCCCACATGCGCCACTTGTGTAAGAGCCCTGCCGCATTCTTTTCAAGTGAATGTGGTGGTTTTATTTTTATATTCATTTTATTTTGAGGCTATTCACTGCTGTGGTATTTTATGAACAACATTTCCAAAAACTGAGCAGTGTGCAAAGAAGCATGGACAGGTGCATGTTTGCAATTACGCTGAGAGACATGTACATGGATTAAAGGGTATATGCAGCTTAATGACATCACTCAACAAACGTGAGTGTGCTTAGGCAGGATGTATCCCAAGAAGGAAGTAATGATGGCTGATGGTCAGGAATAATGAAGGAGTGGCAGCTGAAGAATGAAAGGCATCTGAGAGGACATCCACCAAAGAGATGGAGCGATGAAGTTAGTTCATGTGCAGATGCAGGATTGTGAGAGATGGCGGTAGATTGGGAAGGCTGTCATCCAGTAGTAGATTGGTGATGCCTAATGATGATGATGAGGTTCTATTTCAGCCACTATTGCTTGACTTTGTTGTCGTTTTTGTTTGTTTACATTCAGCAGCGAGCGATGGAGGAACGGAGGGCAGCACCGCTGTGACGGACACTCGCGTCATGATCTTCTCGTCGTTCCGCGACAGCGTGCAGGAGATCGCCGAGATGCTGAGCCGCCACCACCCGCTGGTGCGCGCCATGATGTTCGTAGGGCAGTCGTCATCCAGCGGCAAGGCAACGCGCGGCTTCACGCAGAAGGAGCAGGTCCAGGTGTGCCCTCTGCGACGCGCTATGTACTTGGCGTGTGTTCCTGTGTCACTCGGTCTTTGTCTCGCCACGCGATAGTGAAATTGGACGCTTAAAAGGTCAGCTCCACCTCAAATAACCACAGAGCTGTTACCTTGTAGATATACGCCCTGGCTGCGGGTATCACGCTTTCTGACACTGGTTTGCAGCGTTACATTAGTGTGAGGATACGCCAAAAGAATAACAAGTGCTGTTAGTGAGCACCTATGAAAGCGAGTACAGCACACAAGGGGGTGGGGTTTCCAGCATCACACCTGGCCACCTTTGTCTCCCTAGTGGCAGGTACTCATTTAAGACTGAGTTGACCTAGGGGAGACTCTGGATCGGTTCAGATAATCGTCACTGCCGTTGGCCATGAGCCGCGATGGAACTCGGGTCGTCGGGTTCGTAGCGCAGCGCGCTAACTGCTAACACTACCGCTCTCCACGCACACGCACACGGGGCCACACACGCCGCTAACCCCGCTCGCCCCGTGCTCTTCCGCACTTCACCGCCCCGTGTCCCCACCAGGTCGTGAAGCGCTTCCGCCACGGCGGCTACAATACACTGGTGGCGACGTGCGTGGGCGAGGAGGGGCTGGACATCGGCGAGGTGGACCTCATCGTTTGCTTCGACGCGCAGAAGAGCCCTGTGCGCCTCGTGCAGCGCATGGGCCGCACGGGGCGGCGCCGGCACGGGCGCATCGTCGTCATCTTGGCGCACGGACGCGAGGAGAGGGTCGGTCCCGGGTCTTAACCTCCTCGCTACTGCGACGCTCGCTTGAGTCGTAGCTTTCGTCAAGATCGTTGCTGTCATCGAGCATCATCGAAACCTCGTTGGGGTTTGGCTGCAGAAAAGCCTGAGGCTCAACGATTCAGACTAAGGCAGCACCCCTCACAAATTTTAGTTTTCTCCATGATTGCCGAGCACAGGTCCTTAATATTTTGTGTTTAGTTTGTTCTTCCCCCGCACCTCCAATGAGCACAGTTGGCTACGTATGGTGTGAAAGAAGTTCAGCATATATCCATACATTAACTAAAGGCCCAACTTGATCGTGATGTGTATATTAATTCATTTAATGCCTATGATCAAATCGACCGGAATGAGCCATCTCTTGTCAGATATTAGTAGCTAAGCAGAATTTGGAGCCTGATTATTACTTTCCTGAGATCTTGCCTGAAAAAAACAGGTATTGTAAGCCTTAGCTGCAATGTGTAGCTGTGGATTTGTGCATCTATCTGTGCTGAGCTTTGAGTATTTCTGCCCTCTTGTGTTGAGTATACTCTGGGTTCTCCAGTTCCCTCCCACACGAAGCTAGGTGCTCATTAATGGATTGGCCAAACATCCCACTGCAGAACCCTCCTGAAAACCTACCAATAGTTTACTGCCTTGAGTCTGCTTTGTAATCAATCTCGCTTGGCTTCCCATGCCCTATGGCTACTCCTTGTTCATCATGATCGTCATCGGCTTCCTTATTCGTGGGGGTCTGGGGGATGCCAGTGATCAAAATATTTATTTATATTTGAGGAATCCGATGAGCTATAATGCTCTTTTTCACAGATGTCCAGTAGTTTTCACAGATGTCCACTTCTTGTCATCTTCAGCGATCTGCACAGCAACATCCGGGGTCGATCTTTCTGTCCAGGTCGCTTTGTTTACCGTCCAGATTTTTCCTCGATAATTAGCTCCCGCAATGTATGAATGCTGAACTTCTTTTACACCATATATAGCCAACTCCATGCTAATCGGAGGTGCGATTAGCACAGTTAATCGGAGGTGCGATTTCCCCCCCCCCCCCACCCCCCCACTGGTCAGATGTACAACCAGTGCCAGTCGAGCAGGAAGAGCATCTACAAGGCGATTGAGGGAGCGAGCACCTCCTTTCAGCTCTACCCCTACAACCCGCGCATGGTGCCCGCCGGCCTTTCCCCAGCGCCGCACCGCATGCACCTGCACGTACCAAAGTTCGATGGTCAGACGAAGGGCAAGGGTCGCCTAAGCCGGACGGTCGCAGAGGCATCGACCACACTCGGTGAGCGAGCGAGTGAGCGGGTGAGCGAGCGAGTGAGCGGGTGAGCGAGTGAGCGGGTGAGCGAGCGAGCGCGCGGCGTCAGGCGGAGGTGGTGCTGGTGGTGGTAGAGAAGACCGCCCCCTCGGTACAAGCCGGTCGTTTGGACATATCGTGACCGGCAGCGCCATGTGAAAGTCCTGGGCCAAACTGGTGTGTAGTCGAAAAAAGGTATCGATTTATCCATTAATGAAAATATACTGACATTATTTTCACCGACACAGTTTATAATCAGTGCGTGCTACCTGGTCCGATATGGATCAGAAACACATAGACACCAAGAAAGAAAGTGCTCAAAGAAGCGTGGAGAGGTGCATACTTGGAATTACACTGAGAGAATGAGGAACATTCAGATCAGAGAGCACATTGATTGTGAGAAAAGTAAGTGGGCTTGGGAAGGACATGACACGGCTAGAAGGAACGATGGCCAGTGGTCGAGTGGCAGCCCATGAGGACATCCACCCCGGAGATCGAGCAATGGAATCGGCTTGCAGGTGCGAGTTGCGCATCGCTTGACCACGAGGAACAGAAGCGGTTTGGCAAAGCCTTCATCCAGTAGAGAATAAATAATATCTGCCGCTGATGCTGTTGTTACTGACGATGATGATAACGACGACAATGAAGCCGTTGTTTTTTATCCAGCATCGCTGGGCAGGAAGCAGCCATGCAGAAGTGAGGGGCTGCTCACGCGGGATGAGCAGGACGACTGGGAGCGGCGCGTGCGCCCGCACCACGGGGAGAAGACGCCCGTCCTCGCCCTGGCGCCCTTCGTGTGTCTCCCTGACCCCGAGCGGACCGCGGTGGGTCCTGCCTTTCTTCCTACAGGGCGCACTGTTACATTTCCTGAGCAACTCAAAGGCACCTTAAATCATCACATCTCATCTCAACCCGTTCCAATAGCATGCTGCACTCCAGGCAAGGGGACCTCCCCCCCCAACAGCAGCTGTCCCTGTACCGCACAAGGTGATCGCAGAACCGGTTTGCAAATAGGAATTATCCTTGCCAGTAGGGGGCCTGCCCTGTTCTAGCATCGTCCTTCGCTGCCTTGCTCTATCTTGGACGATAGGTTGAGCTGTTTAACAGTTTGGTTTCCCCGGCCTGAATTCCTTTAAATTCCTAATCACACCGCTATCAATATCATCCCCCCTCATCTCACTCTACTTCCCTCCATATATTCTCTGCGCCAGCAACCAAGGCTAGCTGTCGAATCCCCCAGTCAGCTTTTCCTTAGTGGGAGGTCGCCCTTTCTCCTCTGCCGCCCTATGGTATGGATCTCCCTTCTCCCAGCTATCGACTCCTTTGCCCCTGTTCAAGTCCAGACTCAAGACCTTCCTTTTTTACTTCTGCCTATGACTGAGTACCTTTATCTAGAAAATAAGTATGTCCACTGTTTTTGTACAATGCAGTCGCATTAGGTTATGATATAATTCTACATGTATTGTATTAAACCTTGAACTCAGTGAGCCCACACAGTCAAGAGTTTACCAGGTCTTGGCTGACACTTCTCACACTCGCTGCGCTTTGATAATCTCGTTTAACCCTGGGCAGCTGCCAGGATTTGAAGACACGCAGCGTAGCATTAGCCCCGTCAGCCACCCACAAATCACGGCGAAAACTTGTCTGAGCTTAGCGGATGAATACTCTTTGAAGCCAAGTCTGGGCTCTTACATTAGTAACCAACATGCATTCTGAATGAAAAATATAAACAATCATACAATCATGTGCCCAGAGCAATGATGCCCCATTACAGTTTCCTTCTAATGGAATTTGAGCACAGTGGTGTTCAGTGTTTGCACTATCGAAATAATACCGTCCACACATTGCCTTGGCCCAGATTGAGTTCACCAAGTTTTAACTTATGACAAAACCCAACACGCAAAGCATTGTCATCTAGTGGCTGGACACCACCTCTGGGTGTCCCGGGCTGTACAATCTGACTTTGAGGCTTCGTTCGAAGGAACAAAATACTTATTGCTGGCTTTCGGATGAGTCGCTGTAGTGTCGGTGCAGTTTGACTCCCTCGAACTATACAGCAGGGTTTTTAGCTATATTTTCCAGTGGTCCACTTATTCACACTTTCCCGTTCCGATGACGTACGTGTACATCATCAGTTTTTATTCCGATTCTGTTCCGATGACATACGTGTACATCATCAAAATGCAACCGGAAGAAAAACTAACATAAAATAACTTTATTTTGAACTGAGGCTCCCACAAGGCCATGCGGGAGGGCATGTGGCACAGTTTGGTGTCAGCTATCGGAGAGTGCGGTCGTGTTGCTAAAGTTCTCTGTGGCAAGTACAATATCTTTAAAATCACCGGCATTCTGCCTCTAAATAAAGTTAACGCTGAGCCGCCTGCGCAATCCGAGATTCAGAGGTGAATGGGACTCACCCTGCAACTTGCAGACGTCTCGGAACGGGAAAAGTTAAAATTAGCATTGTTAGTGGGTCATGTAACGTCATTAGTCACGTGACCATTATTCTGTACCTCTAGTCTCCAGATCTCTAATCCCTATTGTTCATCTCACTTTCATCTCACTAATCCGCATTTCTTCATATCTCTTAGCGAGTCATATCTCTTAGCGGGCCACTCCAATAGCCTTTTCCTGTATATGTATGGCCGAGGGGCCGCCAGTTGAAGAACCCTGCAATAAAACATCACGGCAGGGGCATCACCATGGCGGCACTTCCAAAATTAACTATGAAGTGTTTGTTGTCATTAACGAAGCATCAAACCTGCATCACACAGCCCTGCTACGCATGGCCTAGGCGCGTGTAGCTGTTAGATAAGAACCGATTGATTCCCAGGTCGCATTTTCCCTTTAAGCGGCATCGACTACACACCAAGTCTGATGTGACAACGGTTTGCGTGCAGGCGGCGGAGCGGCGCGCCGGGGATGACCACGTGTGGGAGTTGTCCCTGTGCAACTACGTGCCCTGGCAGACCAAGGTGCAGGAAACGTATGCGCTGGAGCACTCGGAGGCGGCGTGCCTGCCCTTCATCAGGCTCATGACGCTGGTCGACAAACTCAAGTACTGCGAGGTTTGGATGCTAGTCGGAAAACCACGCTACTCAGAAAGCTCGGATAGTCAGAAAGCAACGCTGTCAGAAAGACACGCTAGTCAGAAAGCCACACTTGTCAGAAGACCAGCCTTTGATGATAGGGTCAGTGTAGCTGCTTTGCGCTAAGCTGTCACGTCAGTTGAATTAAAGGTCGTCGATCGATAGAATTGGGGGTTTGATGGCACCACTTGGGCCAGGATGTCGGGGGTGTGAGACTTGGCAGATGTTAATTTGCTTGTGGTTCCAGCTGCCATACTGGCCCACAAGCAAGTGGGGTGCACCAATTTCTGTTTGTTGTTTTAGCAAAAAACAGCGCCAAATGGCACTGGGCAGTTTTCTTAACATGTGTTTAATTATCACAATTTTTTTGCCTTGTGTTACTTGCCGGATGTCCTGGTGGTGCATAATGAAACGTTTATTAGGATTGCAGAATAACCGCATTCTTGTTAGCTGTTCTGTATTTCACAGATGGCCCAATTGTTTCTTGATCACATGCACACAGACGTCGTGCAAACGGGTCAGGCTTATCTAATGGCACGAGAACCACCGTTGACGCTGTTAACAAAGCAGCTCCGAGTCACTGACCTATTTCAGCTGAACATTAAAATACAGTCCAGCCTTGGCTGAAATTGGTGTCTTTACAATCAGGTTTTTGCTGGGAAAACTCTGAGCATTCATCATCAGCCATGGTCACTCTTCCTATCTTTTCTGTCAGGGTCATGACAATGATGATGTCACTGTCTCTTGTGTCTCAGGATGAGGAGTATGGCTTCGAGGCGGTGTCTCACTTGGACCGGCAGGACGTGCTGAGCGATGGGGCAGAGGAGGACGGTGGCATAGCGCCGAGCACGCACCGTGCGGAGCGGACGAACGCCCGCCATAGAGACCCATGGTCAGCCCTTGCCGAGAACCATAAACGACGCAAAAAACCCGCGTCAACATCGGTACCGGTGAAGGGCACAGCGACATCTGCTGCCGCCTTCACCGCCACCATCTCCTTGCGCAAATCTGTTGATAAGGCTGTTACTCGTAAGAGTGCGAGGCCGCTGCCACCGCTTTTCACCGGAGAAACCGATCCGGATTTTTCCTCCAAAAAGAAACCGGCGTGGTGGAAAGGGAGGTCGGCTGAGCGGGTGGCAAAGCCTATTGACTCGGATGACGATCCGGATGTTTGCATCGTGGAGAACGCGGCGGAGGGCGATGACGTCGGGGCAAACAGCAGAAGTTTGCCGGACGAGGAAGAGCAGAGCCCAGGAGGGAGCGGTCTTCGTCGGGAAGGGATGGGCACCGAAGGAGTTGTTGGCAGCGCTACCCATCCGTGCGGCACGCCGTGGCTCGCAATGAATTTGGAGTTGAGCAACGGGGCCATAGAGTGCGGGTGCAAGAGTGATATGGATGAGTCTGCCTTATCTGATCTGTTTTACTGGTACTCGAGAGACCCTAAGGAAAATGCGTTTCCCAACAGCCAGAGGATTGATGCAGAGGCTTCGATGGAAGTGGACGGCGGTTGCACTCCGGACAACGTCGTAGCCATGGCAAGGATGGTCAAGGAATTTCTGTCTCATCCTGTACCGTCCAGTGACTTCTCTTTCCTCGATGACATCCAGCAGATCCCCTTTCATGGAATGCTTTTCCAGATGCATTGGCAACAAATACGTAATCAGAGTTCAGACAGAGTGCCTTCGTTTACCGCCCCATGTCTCTCCGGCCCGACAAGTATGTGTACAAATGAGAAGGAAAAGGCTAGGCCCCCGGGTATATCATCCACAATTGATGAGCTTGAGCCACCGTCATACGACAATCACGATCATCGCAGAACAGTTAACAACAACAACGGAGCGGACAGATTGTACTTGCACAATGATGAGCGACGACGTACTTTCTCACCAGGGCAGCAAAATCGCTCCATTGCCCAAACCCGCCACTGTGGGGCCACAGAATTCTCATTCAAAACTCCCACAACCCCGAGCGCCTTTCTCGATAGCAATGATGACATGAGCGTCGCCCTGTTTGACGAGGAGGACGACCTGCTGCTGCAGGTGGACCTCTCCATGCTGGAACGGGAGGAGCAGGGCGGGCAGCAGCAGCAGTGCCTAACACCACCCAGGCCTGAGCCAGAGGTGGTGTCGAGCGACACACCATCAGCGCGGGTGCCGCGGGAACTAACGCCTTCTCGCCACGGGAAAAACGTGGCCTCCATCATCGCTGCAACACCGTCGCTGTCGCCACACGCACCTCTTCCACACGCAAGTGCCCCGCTCACGGGCGAGGTCTCATCGCTGGGAGACTCTATGGCTGACTACTCGGCCGAGCTGTTCTCGGTCAACTTTGACCTTGAGTTTGACCTTAATCAGTTGGACGATGACGACGCTAAAGAAGTTGTCAGTGGCGGTCACCAAAATTCCCCCATCGCCCAGCTCCGACCGCAGGAAACTAACGAGGCCGTCGCTCCCATCACCTTCAATCTGAGCTTCAAGGATTTGGATTTTGATGAGGACTTCGCTCTCCCACCGGCGGCAGTGAAGCGCGACACTTCCCCAGTGATTATCGACGATTTTACGCTGCCGGCTGATGATGAATTTGACGATTTGGAAGAGCCGATCGTCACCCACATAGCCGGTAACGTCGTGCCACCTCGTACTCCGGCCATCGCTGCTCTGGCGGGGCCTTCGAGTATCTCCTTAATCAACCTGACGGTGCCTACTGAGTCTTCAACGCCTCTGTTGGCGACGTCACGTGACCTCCGAAGACCTGCACAGGACCCAGGTGAGGAAGGAGCAAGCGTGCGTGTGTAAGTGTCTTTAAATTAGTTCCTGGTGTCTGCTTATATCCACACATGTCTGTAGCTTCTTACTTGTGTCATTACGTGTAGTTGTTAGTGCTCTCCAATACGAACTCGGCGGCCAGAAGTTTATTCTTGCCCATAGCCAACTACAGTGATGAATATATGAGCTGTTGCTGGGCCTCCCCTCGGTCAACTTAGCCTTAAATGAGTTCCTGGTGTGGTGTTGGCCACACCACCCCCTCGTGCGCCTTGCCATCCTTCATAGGTGTTCGCTAACACTCTGTTTATAGCTACACGGGGCGTCTTTGTTATGTCTGCTTGCAGGGAACAGAGCGGTTGCCGTGTGTTTGGACGACAGCGAGGGCGAGTTGATGAACCACCGTCTGAGGAGGCGTCCAAATGTGCAGCTCCTGCTGGACACCCCGGACGCCCGTGGCCCAGCAAGGACCCCTCCGAGAGAAGTCGCTGCCATTGTCGTAAGGGTAACGCCATGTGTCCACAGACCGTTTGTTTAACAGTCATTGGTTCATTCTTAAACATCTTCCTCAATATCATTGCCGATTACACAAGTGTGTATGCTAAAGATGTATTGTTGTCTCTATCATATTTAAACATTGAAGCTCAGAAAGCCTTTAAACGCTGATACTGCTTCTACAGGTATGACTTGTCACAAGGTGTGTTTGCTTCTCTGTGACAGAACAATGTCTATTAATTTAAATAATTATATTAAATAGTTATTGGTAAATATAATACAGTATAAACCAAACTGTGGTATGAAGTTGTGTGGCTATTTCGGACTTACCCTCTTGAGAACCGGCCACATAGATGAAAGGTATACCCAAAACGTTGACACACAGAGCAAAAGTTACTCTTTGCAAATATGCGAATGCATGTTGCCTTGACAGCTACCCGTTAGCTTCCCTGTTGCACATTTGTGATGTTTATACTTGTTTTAGATTTTGTGCATTGTGTCCGTCCTTAATATACTCATCAATTATTTTTTGCTATCATCCTCCCCGTGCTGCTTCTTCCCCCGTTCCAGGCGGGAGATGGGAGCGACTTGGATTCGCCGATGATCCGCCCGAAGAGGAGAGTGAACAAGCCTCTCTCGTTCCTCGAGGAGAGCTTGCAGCAGAGTTCACCGAAGGCAGGCTAACCCCACCACCGCCACCATCATCGTCTTCACCCCCGTCCTGCCACTGTCATGCCTACAGCGCGTTAGAGCATGTAATTGGAGGACCAGAAAAATAGAGCGCGTTTATGCATTATTGGGTCGCGCCATTGAATTAGACGCACTTAAAACTCAGCGTGCCACCATATTGCCACAGCGTGCTGCCGCGACGGACGCCGCCACGGCGATGACATGCATGGCTGTGCCGCCGGTGTATTTATGTAGCTCACTGGACCGCACTTAACCACGTAAGAACGTGTGGGAGGGGGGTTGACCCCCTTCCGCGAATAGGGAATTTAACATTCGCCTGTTGGTGACTGCGGTGAAGGGCGATGCATTACTCAACGTAGCATTGTGTTGAATAGTATTGGTCTCTGTCTTAAGTGGATGTTCATCTGTCGAAGTCTATGGGTTGCTATGTGAGCTTATGGATCTCTATGTGAGTCTGGGTCTGTGCGAGTCTCCATGAGTCTCATTTGTGACTGCAGCACAGGTGCAGTCCATCCCTCACATCACGTAGCTGCATATGAGTGAATTCAAACCGCAAATAACGAATCTTGGGTAAAAATAGGTTAGCCACATGTACACGAAATCGCATAAACCAAACTTGCCTAAAGCGAGAGAACCCTATATTCCCTGGGTCTTCGGTAAAGCCACGTAGATAGTTCAAATAATAAAAAAAATAATTAAAATAATAACAATATCAAGTTTCGATCACAACAAGCAATCGTCAGCAGCTCTCCCACGATATTTCTCACCTGATGACAATTGCTTGTGTTGCGATCGAAACGTTGTGAAATTGTTATTACTTTATTATTTTTTAATTACTTTTTATGATTTGATCTATCTACGTGGCTTTACCGAAAGACCCAGGGAATATGGAATTCCTGCAGTCACGAAAGCTTTAAGTCGAGGGAACCCTGTAGTTGTAAACTCAGTATTTTGTTGTGATTCAAGTTCCATACAAAGGAAGACGTGCACAACTTTGTGTTAATTTATGTTTGTGTGACTGAGGATGACGAATGTTCAAGACAACTTGGGGGAGCGTCTCTCTCGTGAGGGAGACTTAGTGCTGTTCCTATAACCCATATCCCAACTTGAATAAGTCCAATGCTGAATGTGCCTTGTGATTTGTCGCAATTCAGGGTCATTGTCGCACCCTACCTGTCCAGGGATGGGAGACTGGGTAAAGTCGATAGAACAAAAAAAAATAAAGTAAAAAAAATATTGACCTAGATAAATAGATTAGTAAATAGATATAAATAAGAACACACCTAGACTTCAAGCCTACCCACCACAGTTGTGATTTGATTCAAGCATCTTTTTGCCAGTGTTGTAAATGTAGTGGTTGCATGGTTTTAGCGCTATGACGTTTTTTTTTCCTCCTTGGTTGATCCACTGCTGGATGAAGGCCTTCCCCACACCATGTCAGTCACGGGAGATTGTTGACCACACTTGTGTTATGTGTTGATGATGGGGAAACCCCGGACCCGTTCAGATACCACTCACCGCTGACGTCGGTGTAAGCCCCCCGTGGTGCTCTCGTTGTGCGGGCAGAAACGGAGTCATCTTTACACGCCTCCCGCAGGTGGCGACGTTCAGCGTGGCTCCGCGCGACTGTCGTTTGGATGACGACGATAACGACGACGATTTCCAGATCCAGGGAAAGGTCGTGAGGGTCGCCCGTGAGAAGTTGAAGGCTCAGAAGTCCTCGTCGTTATCCAGTAGGAAACCCAAGAAGGTAAAATCGGCTCTCTGTTAAGTATGCCTATGCCGTAGTGTCACCGTACAGAGCGTGAATCCCCAGTTTAAAAAAACCCAGTGGGTTTGAGTTTGATTCCTGGCCACAGGAAACATCAGTGGCTCGTGATGTCTGACTTGGACCCGGGCCTCTCCAAGGTTAAATCTCAAACATCACCACTGGGGTGGCAAAGGCTGGGCATGGTGCTGGCCACGCCATGCCCTGGCGGACCGTGCCGGTCTTAATAGGCGCTTGCTAACGTCACTCACCCCAGTATTGTGTCCATTCTCTCATCACATCAGGGCTCTGGTCGACAATTCCTGGACGAGGAGGCGGAGTTGTCGGAGGAGGGAGCCAGCTCTGTATCGTCGGACGAGCGGAGCGATGCGGAGGGGAGCGATTCCTCCATGCGCGAATTCATCAACGACGCGTCCACTTTCACACAGGGCATGGCGCTCAACGGTGCGCAAACCAACCATCGCGCTCTCCCTTTGTGTGCGTGAAAATGTTTACTGTCATAGGTGAGCGCTGGATTTTGTGCTTGGTGTGAGGGTGCACTGGTTGTGTGTGTATGTGCTGCCTGTGCCGTGTTTGAGTGTGCTGTGACGACCGCATGTGCATGCTGTTTGTGTTTTTCTTTGTTGTGTGTATTGTGTGCGGTCCTGAAAATATGTCTGTCGTGTCTGTGTGTGACGAGCAGTGGCACAGTGACTCGCACTGTGCTCTAAACCCAGAGATCGAAGTTTCCAGTGATTTCAGAACTGGTTCTGGCCTTTCCTTAGGTCAGCTCGGGATTAAAATAATGACCTGCTGGCATATGGAAACACCAGCACTGGCGCGACAAAGGCGGTCGGACACCATTTCGGAAACACCACCATCTCGTGCTTCGCCACAACAGTCTATAATGCTACACAGTGGAGTTGGGGAAACTTGTGTTTGTTTGTGTGCGTGCGTGCTGCAGAGTCGGCGATGCACGGCGTGTATCTCAAGTCGGTGCAGAGCCCCACGGTACAGGCCGCACGGTACAAGTTGTCCTACAAGCCGTTCCAAGACATCTTCTCTCAGGTGACTGCCACCACGGATTGGTGCGACTAAGCGAAAAAGTAATTCTCGCAACAATTTACAGATTTGAACCAAAATTTTGCGGTTTGATTCCAACAGGTCGGTGTTGGACATTTTCGGTGCTTTAACTTAGAATTGAACATTTTAGACATCACCATTGCAGCGGTGTAGCAGTGGTAACCCAGTTACTAGATTTTTATTTGAAGCCATGGCGAACATTAGTGGGTGGTGAGTGATATTTCAGACGGTTTTGGCTTCCCCCCTCCTCTCCACCAACCAGTTCTAACCAGCACAGTGAAGTATGGTCAACAACATCCATGACCATCACAGCGTAGGAGGCCATAAATACATCAGTGGCTTCATAGATGCATTGTGAATTATGTTTCAGAATTAACTATTACCATCGCTCACCCCAGCAGTCAGTCCATTCAATTGGAGACGCGTCCATCTCTTGCACGTGTCCGTGCATGCATGCGTGTGGCACTTGCCATCAGGTGCACGAGCAAGAGGAGTCGTACTTGGAGGACAGCTTCTGCGTGAGCAATGACGTCGACGAGGAGGAGGCCCCCTGCCTAAGTGACAAGGACGACACCCAGGACCTTGGATTGACGACCGCCGGTCCCGGTGCCCGTCCCAACGAGGAGGAGGAAGAGGAGGGCGAAAGCAGCTTTGTGGACGGCAAGCGGCGGCTTTACCGGACACGGCGCCAGAAGCAGCTGGACCTCCTGGCACCGCGCCGGGAATGCGGGGATCGATTTAACGGTGCTGGCGCTCCAAAGCGGCGTCGGATCCTCGTACAAGAAAATTCCTCAAGCGACGAGGACGACAAAGCGGACCACGTCACCGAACGGCTGCTCGGAGCGGTGCAGGGACCGGATGAATGGAACGACAACACCAGGGACACACGGCAAGGAGAGGACAGTGAAACCTGTCTCAAGAGGCCACCAGCCCAGGTAGGCACGAGTTGCCGGCGACGGGAAAGCGCTGCGTCACGCGCCGAGTTGTCGTTGGCGGAGCGCTGCAGGATCAGGCTGCAGGCCCGAGCGGAGGTGTCGGATGCAATCGACTTTGAGACGGCACCACGCAACAGCAGGGACAGCACAAACACTCACAATTGCAGCAAATTCGACGTTTCATTTCAGCGCCCGAGCTGCCATTCACGACCTGGCACGTTGAGAGCGAGTTTGGAAATGACAGACGTGACGAACGTTCAAACGCCAGTGCGACGGGACGCCCAGGATCGTAGCATGTTGAACTTTGACTCCCGACTCAGCTCGGTGACGAATGACGCGCAGCATCGGCAAGCGTGCTCCACTGTCAAGACTGGTGCACCAGGGAAGACTGCACCCAAGCCGGCTATGACAGCTTCTTCGGTGGCGACGCCCGTGGATCAGCAAGATGAGCTACTGATTCTGGTGAGTGTGGTGCTGGGTTTGTCTGGATGAGGAATCTGTTGTGTATAAGTGTCAACAAACTGAAGCCTGTCGTACTTAGCAAATAACGCGTAATTTAATAACAGTTTTATCACGTGTGCTATCAGCGTAACGGCACAAGAAAACGACCATATTTGTCAGTTCGGATTTAGTGGTGGCATGAGTACAGTACGACTGATTTTGCCGCACTGCCCTCTGCTGTCTCCTGCGTAACCGTGCTGGTCACCCATGCAAGCACTGTCCAATTTAATGACTTTAGACTTCACATTTCACTCCCCTTCATCCGCAAACTCTGCTGCCCCATCCCCATCTTCCCCTCCGTGTGCAGGTGGGAAGCCACGAGGTAGCGTCGACAGGTCAGGAGGTGGTGACGTTCCTGCGACAGCGTCTGGGCGTGCACGCCGCGGTGCTGCAGGGCGTCGGCGGGGACTACGTGGTGAGCCGCCGCATGGCCGTGAAGCGCGCCGCCACGGGAGAGCTGGCGGGGCCAGCCGGGAGGTCGCGTGTGGCGGCGCGCGTCCGGGCCCTGCAGGAGCGCTTCGAGCGCGTGTGCGTCATCGCTGAGAGAGAGCGCCCCAAGCCCGGTGGGTGTGTGGGATGGACGGACGGACAGACTGACTTGCTTAACACGGAGGTTGTCACGGCTGTTATTCCCTTTCATAAAAGTTGAGTTGTTAAGACCCACCACTCCAAACAAATCGTTAAGTAATAACAATTTGGTTGGCTCTATCTGGTGGTGCTGGGTCTTAATGACTTAGGATTAATTGATGGACTATCTGACTAGATTCTAAACTTGTGATTTGGCAAAATTAATCAGATAACTGGAAAGAGGTTGGTGAATAAGTATGTGCTTACCATAGCATAACACCCTAGTTGGGCTTGTAGCAATGTCTTCTCCCCCACTAGCAGTTTGTTGAATGTTACAATTCGGAGTGAACTCCAACACCTACGACGGCGTGACCCTGTTGTCCCGATGCGGCGCTGCAGGCGAGATAGGAGCGGGCGCGTCGTCGGCATCGCGCCCGCAGGTGCGCACGCGCTGCCTGGACGCGGCCCTGGCTGGACTGGCCGCGGCAGACGTGCAGGTTCTGTTCAGCTCGGGCCCCATCGCCACGGCGACGCTGCTGCAGCGGCTGGCGCTCGCTGAGCAACGCAAGGGCGTCGGCGTGGTTGGGCCTGCGGAGCCGCACCCGCACGAGCGAGCAGCCTTCGCCTTCTACTGCGGCCTCCCCGGCGTGTCGTACGTGACGGCGCTGGGCCTGTGCAGAGGCTTCCGCAGCGTGCAGCACGCACTCGCGAGGTAGGGCGAAACGAGAGTGTGTGGGTTTGAGAGAGTGGGAGTGTTGTGGGTGTGTGCGATGGAGAGCGGTGGACATGGGCACTGCGCTACGAACCCGGCGACCAGTTAAATTCCTGCTCGTGGATAACAATCGGTGACGAATATCTGAACCGGTCCTGGGCCTCCCTTAGGTTGACTCAGCCTTAATTAACTACCTGTTACCGTGTGAAACATTCACCAATGGGGAGACAAAGGCAGCCAGGCGTGGTCCTGGTCACACCGCACCCTCGTGTGCTGTGCTGGTCTTTAGAGGCTCGCTAATAGCACTTGCCCAAACAGTCAAAGGCTATATATAGGGGTGGTCTTTGTGAATGTATGTATGCGAGTATGGGCGAGTGTAATTAGCACTGGGAAGATAAAAGATGGCCGGGTGTGGTGTTGATGTTCCAGCCTTAAGTGCTCCCTAAAAGCACTTGCCCCAGCAGCCTATACAGGGTGGATCTTTGTCTGTGTGCTGCTGAGTATGAGGAAGTAAATAACGCGATCTAACCCAAAAACTTTTATTATGAACAATACTGGTCGGGAAAGCCTAAGTGATAAACTGGGTATGAGGAAGTAAGAGTGCACCCAAGCTGTGGCTTATGGTCTGCAGTTTCAAGGACAAGGTCGACTGGAGGTACAAGGCAGTGCCCTGGACACGTGAACAAACAACGCATAAATTGCTTTGGCCATACATCCCAATGCCAAGATCCTCTTTAAAAAGAGAGCCTTGAGACTCGGTGAGCTTTACTTGGGTAATTAAATAACTTTGAATTATGTTGTATTTTCTCAATGGTATCCGTTTGGAACTCTGTATTAGAGAATGGTCTCTAGTCCATACAGTAAAGGGCAAAACTTTAGCACCCACTCTGCATATGAGTAATGTTCACCAAATATAAAATTTAACCACATTAAGTGCAGAACCAAATTTAACCTAGTAGATGTGTTTGTATACAGCCATTGGTAACAGGGGTGAGACTGTCAACTCACTACACTTCTTGGGAACCCAGTTTGATTACAAGGAGCTGCCCAGATTGGAACCCAGGATCTCTGCGCTGATTTTTTGGCATGTGTGTGAGACTGCTGACCTGTGGCTTTTTCCCACAGCTCGGCGAGCGAGCTCCGCGCCAGGGTGGGGATGAGCGACGCACGCGCTGAACGCCTCCACCAGTTCCTGCGCTATCCGTTTGACCCCATCATGCTGCCCGTCCCGCCGCCACCTTAGCATGACCCCCACTCCGCATGGACGATCTCAGACCCCGCAAGCCGCTCTTTCCACAAACGTGAAAAGGCCTGTGTAACCCCCGAGTGCGTAGTTTAAGATGATTATGCTTACAATGCACACAAGAGGTGGAGTGGCAGCAGTGGTTAGCGCCACCACGCTTTGAATTCGGTGACCGGAGTTTTATCCGCTGTCATGGTTAACATCAGTGGCGTTCTGTGTCCCTCTCGCATCAGCAACCCGCACTGACCAGTGTGGTGAAGTATGGTCAAACAAATCCCATGACCGACACAGCATGAGGACTTTATCCAGGACTTGACGTAAGGTGTACATGCGTTGAATTGCATGTAGGATGTTGAGCGGTTATTTGCAATTCATTTATTTCACAATAGATAAAGGCTCAGCAACCAAAATTCCAAGTCATTTTTTTCAAATTCGGTAAAAAATATTTCCAGAGCTGCAGGTTGCCAACCCCAGCAATAGATCCATTCCACTGTCTTGTTTTGCACCCCAAGATCAAAAAGAATAACTGATTAAAAAATAAATCTTGAACTTTAGTTCGAACGTTTCAATAATTTGTGAATGGTAAAACCGTTAAATTCCAAATATCCATTACAATCCAAAAAAATGATACTTTTCCTTATTTGCCTGAGAATCTACAAAAGAATGTCTAACAGTTGTAAACAGAATATATATACTTTTGGAGAAATAAATATGGGCCGTGTGTGTGTGCAATCGGTTGTGGAGATGAAGGGTTTGGGCAGGTCCCAGAACCCACAAGGGTGACCACCACGTCCACACTGGGCGATTGGATTAAAAACGATATCAAGCTTACTCCTAGCGAGTACAGCGATGTTCACAGAACGTTATCCCTGGCTGTTTGACATTCTCAACAAACAATAAGACTACAACTTGCATTAAGTAAATTGAATGTTCAGCATCTTCACATGCAATACAAATCGAAATTTTATAAATAACGTGTAACATAGTTAATTGTAACAAAAAAATTAAGATTTTTTAATGAATATACATCAGTTCAGAGCTCCCGAGTTTCTAAATAACCTGCTCTGCTCAGCCCGACTGTAGCCACTGCCTCGTGCAGCCACTTGGAACACAATCGTTGCGTTTTGGGTGATGTGTTGCCAGAGACCACAGGCAACCTATGATTTGGCTACTAGGATCCCATTTGCTGTTGCATTTCTTTTAAGTTCCACTGCCAAGGCACTATGAATGAATGGGCCCCATCGTTTTTTTTACACCAGCAGCTTGAAAGCCACAATGTTGCGTAACAAAGTGCCTGTAAACGATGTTGCTCAGTTTGGCTCCTTCCCGAAAGGAGTCTTTTTTTTACACCACTGGTTATCACATTGTGAAAGTCTGATTAATTTTGATGTCATTGCGAAATTAATATATTTAAATCTGAGAATCAGTGACCCTTGGCAAGGGTGATGCCTAAAGCTTTAAATGAAAGTGAACAGTTCTCATGCAGACCTAATATCAAGCTAACTTATTTGAAATGAAAAGTGAATCCTTGTGTTCAGCGTGATATATGTTACAGAAAGCATCTGCAACAAGATAATGCTGTGCTTTTTATTTAATTTGTAATGTGTCATGGTAATGATAAATAAAAAAAATGCTTCAAGTATAAGTGTGTAATTGCCTGAAATTACTCTCTCCAGATAACGGCAGGAATTAATCTTGCCCCACTGTTTTTAGGCTTATTTATCCAAAGCTACAGTAGGTATTGAGATCTCTTTAACAATATAAAGTGACCAGGTACAGAGTGGCAGCAGGAGGGCAGTTGAAACTTAGAGCTGTCATTGCCTGGTTTTACACAGCAGAGCTTCAAGTCCCAAGACCGAATCAGGAGGGTCCTGCATTGGAATGGTTGGCCATGCACGTCATGTGATGTGGGGGTGGGTTATTTAACCATACTTCACCATGGTCAGCTGTGGGTTTGTGAAGGCTGGGAACAAATTGGAGCATAGAAGTGCATTATAATAATGGATTTTGCCACACTGCCCACCACATAGACCCACAGCAACCTATTATTGTGCATGGTGGTCACCCATTCAAGCACCAGCTAGGAACAACCATAGATGAGATCGGGAACATTCTCTGAGTTGGTCCATAAGCAACAATTTCATAGAACTTTCATACCCGAGCAAAATATACGTGAGTAGGCTTTTCTCATTGAAGTTCAACGAGGGGAACTTTGATTACTCTGGTGCTTTTTTTCTTTGGTATATAAAGTTCACGCTGTCAGAGCTTCAGAATGAAGCGCTGGTGACAGGCACGGGAGCAGAAGAACACAAGCCGAGGGGCCTCCTGGCCTCTGCCACCATGGTCCAGCAGCACCACCTGAGTGGCGATGCACCGCAGGTCTAGCGGCAGAGACGCGGCCACGAAGCTGTCGAGCGCAAAACTACCGCAGCCTTCGCACGGCTCGGCCGCGTCGAGCCATCGGCAGAGCTCAGCCGGCACCGAAGCTGGACAGTAGGGCAGCCTTAGGAGGAGAAAAACAGGATAGCACCTTTATGAGTGGGCACTGAGACATTCATATAGTTGCAATATGTACATCCCTCCACTAACCACCTATCCAATCATGTATTGACTATAAGGATAATATTTTCCAGTGGGCCACAAAATTAGAATGTGCTTGTAGCAACCATACAACTCTGTCCAACTTAATTCTCAATTGAAACCTCAACTTCACTTTATTTAAGATGCCGCAAGCATGCAGTGTAGCGATCCAACTCCAGAATCTGCTAGAGGTCCTGCGGTCTGGCCAGTCCCAGCCCACAAATATCGCGAGTCTCCGTGGTTACCTGCACGCCTTCGCCGCTCGTGCCGCCAGCTCGGCCAGTGTCGGAGGAAGCAGTAGTCGCACAGCGACAAGGTCGCGGGGTCGCGGCTGCTCCAGCGGGTTCCCGTGCAGGTCCAGCACATCTAGGCGCAGGCGCGCGAACCCACCAGGCAGCCGTGCAACGGCGTTCCGCGCTGCCGACAGGGACCTCAGCCGGCCAACGCCGGCGTTGGGCCGGCCCAGCCCGCGCCACAGCGCCGTCAGGCGGTTGTCGTCCAGGCGGAGGTGCGCAAGCTCACTAAGGCGGCCGAAGTTGTGCGGCAGCGAGCGCAGGCGGTTGCGCGAGAGGTCGAGCAGGCGCAGCGACCGGCGCAGCGCTGAGTCGTCGGAGCACAGCGCGGAGGGGAACGCCTCCAGGTGGTTGTCGGCGAGGACGAGCTCGGCCAGGCAGCCGAGCGAGGAGAGCGCTGCCGTCAGCTCTCGTACGTGGTTGTGGCTCAGGTCGAGGCGGCACAGGTGGCGCAGGCTCAGCATGCGGCTGTCCACGCGCGACAGGCGACAGTTGGAAACCTGGTGGTGAGAAGCGGGACAGGGGGGGGGGTGGATGGGGGGGGGCGTGCAGCTGCTGTGTCAATAGAACACGAAGGGTGCGCAAGCGTGAATAACAAACTAAACTTTTTATTTCACCAGGTAAGGCCCAATGAGCTATATAGCTCTTTTCCAGAAGCAACCTGCCTGCAAATGATAGCTCAACAAAGTGGCTCATGTGGAAATTTATAGCAGCCAAACACTCTAAACGCATGTTTCTAAATGTTGAGGGAAAAACCGGTGGACCTGGAGAAAAATCCACGCGACCACGGGGAGAACATGCAAACTCCAAATATACAGGCATCAGGGTTGGGATCGAACCCACGACCTGTATAGCAGGTGAAGTAGTTAACACCACACCGATTCTATATTGGCCATGCGAGTTGTTGCCTGGCAACCAAGCCCCTCCGGGCTGTGGGCCCTGTTGCAGTTGCACTGCCTGCACACTGGACAGCAATGCCACGAAGCTTAGCCTTTTAACAGATACGTGGGCAGTATACGACGGACATCTACAAATCGGTCAATCTCCCCAACCCCTGTGAGGCTTTCACTCAGAAATGGACAATCATGGCTGATGAGGATAATTATGGGGAGTGGTGTAATATATACACATATAGATATAACACATACCCACACAGAGCTTTACAATTTCAATAATTATGCTGGCAGTAGTATTAGAAGGAAAGGCTCAAAAGTACAAATTCCCTACTGTAGTTTACGATTGTAAAACAAAATGTGTATATTTGAGAACCTAGTTTAACGCACAACTTGGTCTGAGTCTTGCTTTATATATAAATATATAGGTCTAAGTGTATGGGTGTCAATGTCAGTCACTGGTGTCCAAGCTCCACTATAAACATTGGGAGAACCAAGTTTAATCAAAACTGAATCTATATTAATCTATGGGTCTCTTTGTGAAGCTATAGGTTTATGCATAATCCTATGGGTATCTAAGTGAGTTCTTATGTAAGTTATAGATGACTGGGCTGAGACCATCAACTCACTGCACTCAACAACCTGGTTTATCCGTTGTCGGGGCAGCTGAAACTCCGATTCAAATCCCGGATTCTCAGCGGTGCCAGGCTCAACACCATGACAAAACCCTCACCGACCAAGCGACCTAGCCCACTGCAGCAAAAAACCGACAAGGGAACATTCACGAGCAATGTGGGGGGGGGGGGGGCTGGGGCGGCACCTGCAGCGTCTGGAGGGAGCTGGGGAAGCCGGCGATGAGTGGGTAATCGGCACGGGCAAGTACAGTCATGCGCTCGCGCGGCTTCTCAACGTCCGAGGAGCGGGCGGGAGCCAGCGAAGAGATATGCATCGAGGAGACGTTGTGGTCCTGGTGCGCCAGCCGCAGTGCCGACAGGAAACCCTTGAGCCCCACTGTGCTCGCCTGCGTGTGCGCGCACCACCCACCAATCGTTTTGTTGTTAACGCAAACGGGGGCCGTTATGTGTTTGGAAGCTCGCAAACAGTCCCGTTAACACAAAGCTCCGTTAATGTTAGCTAGTTTTTTTTTCACTCCGGCTAATATGACAAAGGGAGTATGTAGTTTCGTAAGAGGTATACACCAGGCACTAGGGTGGAGTGCTGGCCCAGTGGTTAGCGCACTGCACCGAGCCGAGAGATCCGAGTTGGATTCCATAAAATAATTAAGAATGTCCCCATTTGGCTACCCGAAATTACCCTAATTCAGATCAAAGTCCCAACAAGCACTCCAATCTCAAGCATTCACATTTACATCCCATTCGTGTGGACCATGGGGGAAAATTTACCATACTGGTCAGTGTGGTTTAGTAGAGGCAAGACGCAAACACGAGAGCTTAAATATAGTACAACAATGGAGGTTGCTGCACTCTCCTCTGCTACTCACCAAATAGCCCCACAGCAGCCTACAACAATCTGTGATTGGTGGTCACTTATCTGACTACAATCCAGACTCAACATACTCAGTTTGGTTTATACATATCTACACCCCCGACTGGCAGACTAATCCCCCCAGGTTACTCTTGCAAATGAGACTGTTATGGTCTCTCGAGTTTTCACCAGGTTCAGCAAAATAAACTGGAAACTCAAAATGTACATCGCTTCCGCAATTGGAGGAGATTGGGCGGACTCCGGGTGATTTGGTTAGAGACTTATCATTAACGCAGCGCCTATTTTTCAATCGATGATAGGTACCTTGCTGAGGCACAAGTCAACCGGGGGCTCCTTAAGCCGCACGGTGGCTTTTCCTTCATCGACAAACTTCGTGAAGAGCTGCTCGATATTCCCTTTGAGCTGCAGCGGAAATACAGAGAGAGCAAATAAAATATCAACAAGGCAAATGTGAGACCGTAGCACCACTGTCCAGTAGTGTAGAATATCCACAACTAAAATGAGTGTCTGACTGGCCGTCCTAAATTTTGCAACCCCTAGGGTCATAACCACCAGGCACAAGTCTGTAGGCTATGACGCACTATCATTAATTTTCAGACAAATCGTTGCTGACAATTAATATTAATGGTTTGTGCTTGTACACTAATGAAAATGCATTCGCCCTATATTTTAAGTGACCATTTAAAGAACTTGATACTGTGATCACAATATGGACCAAAATTTAGGGTTTTTGGAATTTCTAAACATTCAGGATGATGTGATATCCATTTACACTGCCGTGTTAAATACACTTGCATTACTGTTTTAATTCCTTTACCATGCAATTACCCACATGCATTTCTGCAATGAAACTGTGTGGCAATGAACATATGGCCAGGCTTAGTTATTTGTTTTAGTTGTGCTTGTAAATATCGTGCCCTTAAATTACCCAAAAAGCCTTCCCAGTAGCAACTCTTTTGGGAGGATCATGCACTGTAAAATTCAGCCTATTCCGTTCAAGTATTTGGTAAGTGGGCAGAAACCAGAGAAGCCCAGAGAAAATCCATGCATTCGATGGGATAACACACCTCCACACCGACTCAATCCACAGATCGATCCAAGCTATTGGGGCCTATGACTGCATTATCTCCTGGCCACCTCGCGCAGCCCCGGGGCATGCGAAACATGTTTAGCGTATAAATGGGCCACAGCCAGTGCCTTGTATCTGGAGCCGGCTTTGTCCTTGCTGCTGCAGACCATGAGCCAGAGCTGGCCGTGCGCGTTCCTGCCGTCCTTATCTCCACCGTCGCCGCCACCACCACCAGCACCACCGGCGGCGGCACTGCCGGCACCGCCGCCACGGGCCCCGATGGTAAGGGCCGACCAGATCCCGCGCCCGCGACCCCTTAGGCCACACGACGGCAGCAGGCGGCTCGAGGTCTCCACGTCGCACTGCAGCCGCATCCCGACGCAAGTGGCGTCCCAGCCGCTACACAAGCCGACAGATATAGGCGTTGGGGCAAAACACACATTTATAAATTGGCCTTTTTTTGGATCAATATAGCGAGTTTTTTTTTTAATTGGGAATGTCCGTAATAACAGGGTATAAAGTTGTGCTTATACTGTTATTAGGGACGTGCCCTTACACTACGAGTAGAAGCACAACCTAATAATATTAAGTCGTTTTGATTTAAAGCTTTCGTGACTGCAGTAATTCATATTCTTAGTTCTTTCGGTAAAGTCACGTTGAAGGGAAACAACAAAATAAAAAAATATTTTTTGTTTTAGATATATTTTATTATTTTGTTGTTTCCCTTCAACGTGACTTTACCGAAAGAACTAAGATTATAATATGAAGTCGTGTTTATACTTGTACTATTTTGCCACAAGTTTGTGTGATTAATGCATAATTTATGTCTTGTAATAGGTATCTATTTGGTGTTTGAACGTCTTATTTCCAGAAAGGGTAAAGCTTATTGTTACATATTTTCTCTTATTATTTTAATACTGGCAAAGATGTTCCATAGATACCTTCACTGGCACGATGGTGTCACGGCAGCAGCTTTCGAAGTGACGCTGAGCTATAGGCTCCGCGCGCCTCTTGAGTTACGGTTGTACGTGTCTGTGTTACTATTACGATTAAAGACACTTTACTTTGGTAAGCGCGTGGCTTTCATACCTTGTGCGCGGGTCTGCAGTAGCTTCTCGACACCAAGTCCTCCCGCAGTGTACGGTGTCCCTGAACGAAAAAAAAACCCACGCAAGCCGATTAGTACTTTACAGCACGTTTACGAAACATATCCGGCAGTACTTTGACAACAGAGCACTCCATGCCCGCTCCCCCGTTTACCGAAACGGGCGTGGGGAGGACCTTCACCCAGCACTGGCTTCATATCAGGGGCTGAATATTAAAAGTATAGGGTAGCATTAGAACACGTCTGTCTGTACGTGAACGCGCCTGACAAATGAACTCAACAAAGTAGACTCGCTCGTTGTCTTCGTTTACAACAGTGAATCGCACACCGCGACGGTTGCGACATCGGGGCAATAAGTCGCTTTTATTCATCTCCTTTGTTTAAAGAACGAAACGGCGATGAAGACTCCATACCAGACGTGCACACAAAAAACGCTTTCCCGCCAAATTTAGGTCCCAGGACTGTAGCGCCGCGCAGTTCAGACCAATCGTGAAGCGCGTTGTATCGCGTCGACGACGAGCCGTAACGAGCTTTCTCATTGGTCGAATCACGTAACGAGCTTTCTCATTGATCGAACCGCGCTTAATACGTCGGCGTCTAAGTTGTTGGGATTATGGGAGGGGCGTAAGCTGTCGCTCTCGACCAATGGGGGGCGCCTAACTGGCGCGTGATCGCACGGAACCGACTAACGAGAGTTGACATGAGGGGGCGTGATCAGAGCGTGCGAGCCAATCAACGAGCGCGATGAGAAACGCGCCCCCTTTTCGCAGCTGTTAAAAGCGCGCGAACTTTGAGCGGCCCGGAGGACTAATGCTCGACCTGGGCCCCCTGCTGACGACGCCGATAGCCAAACGTTGCTGTTCGCTCCGTGTTGCTGCGTTTATCGCCGTAACACCCTACAAATTACAAACGTGCACATACCTGGCAGGAAGGTCACGGGACAGAGCCAGGTGCTTTGGGTTCGCTGACTGAGATCTACTGGACATCTGTGAAAAATAGCTTTATAGCTCATCGGATTCCTCCAGTATAAATAATTAATATGATTCTGAGATGCCTGGCACATGCATAAAAACACGTTTTGACCGTTCCTTTGTTCTAATAAAGCAAATCGTCTGGCGATACTGCGTTGGCCAGTGGTACACAAACAACAACAAAACTCAACTCATTCGTCAACAACACTGCCTCAAAATTAAAATAAAACACCGTACCGTCATGGGCGAAGTCCGTTCTAAGTCAGCCGCGTGCTGCCGCCTCGTATTCACTTGCAATTATAGTTCATGTCTTGATATATTGAGGGATTTTTTGTTTTACAAATTCGGAAAAAATGTCTCTAATTATTTTGGTTTGCCTACCCCTGTTCAGAGTAGAAGACGTAACATCGCGCATTGTAGTAGTAACACCGTGCTCCCAGCAGAGGGAGAAACTGATCCAATTTCAATTCCTGACACTTGCGACAAACTAAAACCACAAACTTTTATTTATTTATTTGACCAGGTAAGGCCCACTGAGCTGAATTCCTCTTTTTCAAAAGCGACCTGGTTATCAGAAATGATGACTCAACGAAGCGGCTTATCACGTGAACATTTCTAGCAGCCAAATAACTCTAAACGCGTGTTTCGAAATGTGAATGTCGACGTAAAAACCGGGAGGACCCGGAGAATAATCCACGGGGAGAACATGCAAACTCCAAATATACAGGCGTCAGAGGTCGGGATTGAACCCACGACCTCCTGTATACCAGGCGAGGTAGTTAACATCAGATGTTATATCTGCCATTCCCTGTGTAAGTCGGGATGATGAAGTATACTGTAATTCTCCCTCTTAGATTTTAGAAGCAGGGAATTTCCAACCCCCCCTAATTACGTGAAAAAAGCTTGTCTCTTGTAAAAGAAGGGCTCCCAGACAATATTTAGTTTTCAGCCCTTTGATGAAGGATTCCGCCCAGGACCTTTATCTGAATCAGAGTCTTTATTTATACTGGGAGGAATCCGATGAGCGATTAAGCTCTTTTTCACATGTCCAGTCGGGGCAGGTCAGAAAGTTACAGCAGCAAACAATACAAAAAAAAAACCGATAGAAGTGCAAAATATAAAAATGGTAAGCAAGTCACCAAATTTAAATAATACGTAACTAATTATATAAGTAAAATTTATCAAGCTTGGGCAAGTCAGCAAACACAACAACAGTCCCAGACCACACCAAGACAACGCACAGCAGTAGTCCCTCAATAAAATGGCTCGCCACCGAATGTTAGCCGTGTCCGATCATTTTTCGTTTGCATTTTTCTATCATAGCATTGAAAAGAAAAATGCAGACGTGCTTGGGCAGTACACGTCTCCAGGAGGGACGATAGCCGCTGGTCGAGACGAACGACGGATTGGAAGCCAAAGAACACGCGCACTCGAGATGACAACCATCGCAGAGATGGAGCCCACGCCATCATCGGATTATGTCCACGTGCTCGGTCAACCAAAATAACAAGAGGAGTCCAATTTTTTGTTCTAATTCGGTAAAAAAAAACATCACTCAATATTTCAAGAGCCGCAATGCACTGCTGTGGTGAATACAAGACGATGGTGGTCCTTAATAAATAATGGTCACGAAGCAGTCGCTTCAAGAGCCGGGCTTTGGAGCCGCAAGTTTGTTGACCCCTGTGCTAGATGGGATTGTTGGATCACAAGGCTACGAGATATGACGACGCCACGGTGAGACCTTCACCCAACAGTGGATAGATCATGGCTCATTTGTCAAGTGTGATTTGTAACTTTTTATCCCTGTGTAACGATAGTTCGATGTTAATGTCCTATTTTATTGACGGACTACTGCTGTATTGGTGTTATCTTAGTGTGTTCTGGGATTGTTTTGTTGTTTTCTTGCCCAAGCATTCATATAATTAATGTATTAACGTATATATTATTTATTTATATTTCGTGACTTGCTTACCATTCTCTCAATTTTGCTGTTGTAACTTGCTAACCCGCCCATACTGGATATTTGTAAAAAAAACAAAGAGCTTCATAGCTCATCGGATTCCTCCCGCGGTCTAAATATTCTGATTCTGATGGCTGCTTCTGATGTTGTTCTTGTGAGGATGCTCTTACGAAGCTATATTGTGCCTGTGAGCAAGGCACATTGCCATCTGGCCTCTACAGCTTTGACATAGATCTCTGCACACCTGGGTGTTTTAAATGGCATTGGCAAACGAGGTCCTCATTAAGGAACATCCCATTAAGAGTTGGCCTATGTAAATATCATTGAACGTTCTGCTAATTGGGCTGAAAAGGGAATGTGTAATGACACAACGATCTTCGTCATGATTGTTTTTTTTTCTCCCCGCTGCAAGGCAGGGTTGGCGATTCCTCCAGGGATTACGTGTGAAATGCTCGCTAACACGATGATGGCGCGGAGAAAGCACGGCAAGTAGCAGAGCCATCTGTAGTGAGGGTGCGGGGCCAGGGGAAAATTCCACTGTGTGTCCGCTACCCCCCGATGCATTCAAACGAAACCAGATTGTATGACATCTGACGCCGTGACGAGGAAGCGTGGCCCCCACCCCCCAAAGCGGGGGGCACGGGGCGGTCGCCCCCGATTCGTAGGACACTTTTTGAAATCGTGTGCGGGGGTTAGAGTACTGCGCTGCAAACCCGGCTACGTTCGATTCCCGGCCACGGCTAACATCACACCTCACCAAGACAGTGCGGATTGGAGAAGGGGAGGGGTGAGAGACAAAGAACCCCACAGGACCGACGTGCCGTGGGGACACTTTGAAGCAAGGGGCTGTCCATGATTATATTTTTCAAATCGTTTATAACTTTAAACAGCCCAGCGTGTGTTGCAGCGGGCATTACCCACCTGCAAAATAATCATCTCCGAGTTTGTCCAATAGACGTGGTCCATTCCACTATCAGTGCAATACGAACTTCGATATGATCAACAGCAGAGCACATGCTGGTGTCACACGCAACCAGCAGTGGATTCCTTCATCCATCCATCCATCGGTGTCAACTCTGGGTGCCGAGGTCGTCTGCTAACGTGTGCCAGCGCTTCCTCTCCGCACGAGTGGTCGGGATGTTCCCCGTGCTGAGCTGCTTCCACTTCCTAATGCCATTTCACCACATCCGCCTTTGTCTTTCTGTCGCCATTCTGCCTTCGATTTTCCCACAACACGGCCATGGAGCATGCGTAACCTAACACATGTGACCGGCCCAGAGTATGCCTGCGTGAACCACGGGCTGCCAATTAAAGGGATCTCACAAGTAGCTCTATCATATCCTACTTTCAGACTTATTTCGAACCTGAAGGTTGCACTGCTCTGGGAGAATTCCGAACGGATACTTTGTCTCAAGCGAGGAAACCAATAGCATACAATCAGGTTAAAGCCGAGTGGAAAGACAGAAAACAAAAGTGATCAGAACCCTCAACCAGCCACGCCAAGTTTGTCCATATCTTGGAAAAGGGAACATGTTTCCACCATCTCGACCACCTTTGTCCAAACGCAGCAAACCTGACGGAGAAAGCTCAATTAATTAATTCTCCTGCACGGAGAAACAGACCGTCTTTTAAGCAGTGACAATGCATTTCATCATCATCGTTATTATTGTTTGCATGGGTGGACGGTGGATGGGTAGGAGAGAGATGCAGGATATTGAGGTTTGACGCACACTGTGCTTTTAGCGGTTTCCATGACAAGCCCTGACATTACGATGTCAAACCTACAGGTCCACCTGCCCGCAGTAAATTAGCTTGCACAGCACATGCATGACTGCCATTTAAATCGGTTGACCTTATTACTGCTCCGCACATTGGAGCTGGACATTGGGACAGTGACACGCCACTGCCCTTCTTGCGTCACCATGCGCCGGTATTGCGTATTATGTAAAATGTCAAGTTATATGGCACACACTGTAGGTTAATGACTCATTTAGGTGATTACGTATGTCTGTGTGTTTTTGGGCTATAAGATTTCTCAACAAACTGTTGACACATGAAAGCCACTTTATTGACAGTATACAAAACATTGAGAAATTGCGTCATCAGTGGTACACAAGCAAAACCACAAATGCATTACATGTATTAATAACGCGCTCGTTTCAGCAGAAACTTACATAACGGGCTTACATTTCAGGTAACGGCCCTTATTTGGAGCAGATAGCTGTGACAGAAATATGTTTAACAAATAATAAATGAACATATAATTTTTTCATGGCCCATGCGTAACATTCAATCTACAACTTCAAGTCAGTCAATATCTTGTCCTCTTCTCTGAAGGGACATATCCATGAAACGTTAGCCTATTACTCACGCATGTTTTGTCTGTTGTAACACAGGGCTAATGAGGATCGTTGTGAGTGTTTTTTATCAATTGAATTGTCCGGTCTCATTCAAAGTTTGTGGGGCTAATATTCAGCCATGTGTGAACAATCAGTGCATGAATTGCGTGTGCTTTATGCATGTGTGTGTATACATTTGTGAGTACCTGATAGGCGGTGTGTATACAACATCAGTACTGGGGAGACAAAGGCGGCCGGGCGTGGTTGCTGGTCACCCACCTCCTCGTGTGCCGTGCCGGCCTTCATAGGTGCTACTCCCTAACAGCACTTGCCCCCACAGGTGATGGGAGATATTTTTCAAATTTAAAAACGTTCTTGTTCAGAACCAATGGTGTTGGTGATTTAAATTGTGAAGTTCTGTTTTCCCAAAAAACTTCAAGCTACTCTCATTCGCCTCTTTATTGTTTTCTTCCAGGGTTCAATTCCTGCCCATGGATAACAGTACCAAGTGATATCTGAAAGGTTACCTTGTCGTGGAGTGTACAAACATCAGCCCTGGAGTAACAAAGGTGGCCAGACCCACCCTCTTGTATGCCATGTTACCATTAATTGGCACTCGATAACAGTACATACGTTCATATCACGAACAATATATAGTAGAATATATGTATACGCTCATACATTTATGTATGTATTACATGTATGCACATGTAAACTCAAAGGGGAATATACTTTTATTTTACTGCTCAAACGATAAACACGTTACACGAATAAGTAACATGAATACAATAATAACTAAATAAAACTCGATGCTATGGAATTGGCCAAACATCCCAATGAAGGGCAATCCTAAAACATAACCTTAACACTCAGTTAAACCATTGTGCATATGCTTTTCGTGATAACCCGCATCTGATTATCACGGTTGGCTACGTACGGTGCGAAAGAAGTTCAACGTACATGCGTACGTACCTATTTGTCGACGCGGAAAAGTAATCTTCTCCACCTCTGGAGTGGAGGAAACTTAGAGGCCATAGTCTCAGTTAGAGCTCAGCTCAGACTTGACCCACTAAGTAGCTTCCAAAGACGCGTGAGCAAGCAGTAACGGCCGCAGCTTGGCTCGGGATCAGCTCGTGGAAAATCCTGAGCGTGGCTGGGACCGTGCTCAGAGCCGGCTTAAGCTAAGTACGACTGCGAGCTGGCTCACTTGAGCCAGAGCCAAGCCTCAGCTGAGCCGTGACTAAGAGCACGGGCATTAATGAGACACCAAATGTTGATTTAGGTTATCACGCGGCAGTTAAAGAGGTGGTTGTATCCACAATTTTGCACTGGAAATAGTAGCAGCAGCAGTCAACTGTTGACAATCATCATCATATTCCACCTGTGGCTGATGTATCCGTGTCATTCCTCTCACTCTATCCAGTCAACATTTGTCTTGGTCGCCCTGTGCCTCTGTTCTATTCCACACGTGGCACCATTGCTTTTCCTGGATTCCCGTTTGGTGGCATCATATCCCGACGTGACCGTATCCTAGCAGTCTGCGTTCCTCAATTTGTTTCTATCCTCGTTCATTCCATCTGGGCCGTGACGTTTCCCAGCGGCAGCGCATCCGCTGCTTGTTGTGCAGGTTCACAGTTCGATCCCGGCGATCGCTCCGATTATTGCAGCGGCTCTCAATCTAAAATACACCGTCTGGTACACACTGAACGGTAAACATTTCCCGAGGTCATTTGCAGGAGTAAGCCATTGTGCGCTGGCGTTAGGGTCAAATAAAAAAATACATGACACTGCATATGACTCATTTGGGACGATAGACAGCAATCATCGCCCTCTACTGGCAGAAAAATGCCCCAGGGTCACTCTTGCAAATGACACGATCCGTATCTCTCGAGTTGTCAACTGGTTAAACAAAATCCACTTCAAACGTCATACACTTTTTTAAATGTTATTTATAATGTACTCTAATGACTTAGATTAACCAAAATATTACATTAATTGCATGGAATTAAAAGTTTTCATGTGTATCCAGGACCCTGAGTTTTAAGGAAGGTGCCTTGAAAGACAAAGTTTATTCATTTCCTATTCTATCTGTCTTTTACACAAATAACAGTTTGTGATCCGTATACACCGTTAAAAGCACACAAGTGAGATTTACTTATAATAACGCAGACATTTAATGTTTTAACCCAAAGTTTTATAACAATGTTGAGGAATGTGCTCCCGATTTTCTGATAAATTTAGATACGAAATTTTGTATCGTTTCGAATATCCACTCCGCTAAAAGCCTTGGAAATGCAACTCATTACAGAAAGTGAGGCCACTCATGTCAATATCGTCACTACCACACTTTTTCGCACCCATAAATTTAAGCAACTGTGCGTATAAGTGAAAGGTCAGCATTCTAGTCATTGGCTTCGCTATCGAGTGTACAGGTGGTGCAACTGCACCGTGCCCACGTGTCAGAGTGGCAGAGGGGGGAAGGGCAGACAGGAGGGGGTCCTATTTCATTCTGTGTGCCATGGGCAGTGCCAATCACGGTACCTCACCGGCCCTTAGCCGGTTATGGAAATTCCGCATTGCTGTGGAGTGGAGCAATCACCTCCACGGAACAACCACCTTATAAGACGAAAGCATTCATAGTCGCCGGGTTGCATGTCGTCACGCGGGTAAGGAGGAGGTCGCAGTGCTGACTGCCTCTTCCCCATCGCCGGGGACCCTGAGCTGAGGGTCTTTCCCGGAGGAGGCCCGGTCCCTGTCCCCTGTGCCCCCCGGTCCGGGTCCTGGTCCGGGGCCGCCCGTCAGGAACCGCCTTGCTCGCTCCCAGCCCGAGTGCAGGGCGTTTTGGAATTTCCTGTGCGGTGAGGACACCAGACAAGAGCGATGTTGCGCGTTTGTTGATTTAACTGTCAAGGTGGTTTTGATAATTTTGTCGCAACTTAATCTTAAGGGTTTTATGTAGTTGGTTGTGTCAATAAATATTCTGCCTAAGTTTATTTGATTGTATGAATACAGAGCAGTGGTTCTCGAAGTGTGGTCCCAAGGTTCCACCAGTGGTCCACGACGGTCCTCCAGGTGGGCCACAGGCTGTGATACAAATGCAGGTTGATCCGGAGATAATGACGATATTTATACCTTTTGTTATGGACATGAATTCATATTCTAGTTATCATATTTAATTTAAAAAGGGAGTTATGTAAACTACCCTGATTAAACTCCCCTCAACTTAAAAACGAAATTCCACCTCTAAAAAAAAAACCTTATGAATCAATTTGCATTACTGGTATTTAGAGATAATTGGATGCGTTTAGTCACTAGGGGTGTGGGGGGCTCGGTGGTCCACGGGCCAACATTTTTTGAGAAACACCAATATAGAATATCGATGTAGCGTTCAGTTTTCAACGCAATATTTTTGTTTTACTTAGTTTAGTTTCAAGCAAAGCTTTGTGAGTTACCGCAGCATTCAGAGGCTACACAAGTTGCAATTGTATTGCAGTTTGCGACTGGAATTCATGCCTTTTCGGAGAAATTAGTACGGTTTGCCACGGTATGGTTTTCATTACACTAAGCCGAGATGGACGCACGATGTCTAATAATTCCCGAAACAGCTTGGGGGGAGGGGGGAGGGTAAACTCTTGCCCCCTATTTATTTTTTCCTTTTTCCCCATGACTAGCGATCCCACGGACAATGGTCGTGACCGTTATTGACTCTTACTTTTGTCGGAGAGAGTTGGTCCAGGGATTGAGCACAGACGTGAAGACGAGCAACCAGGTGGCCATGGCCTGTGCGATGGGCGGCACGGGGAGGCCTCCCAGCGCCGAGTAGAAACCCACGGCGACGTAGGGACTCCAGCAGACCAGCATCGTCACTATCGCCAATGGAAGCAATGGTTGCTACAAGTTAAAACGCAACCATAAACTATTTTTTATTTTACCAGGGTAAGGCCCGCTGACCCAAACTGCCATAGCTCTTTGTCAGAAGCGACCCGGCTACAAATTATCGGTCAATGGAGTGGCTTACCACGTGGAAATTTGCAGCAGCCAAATACTCCAAACACATGTTGATTCTAAATGTGGAGGGAAAAACCGGAGGACTCGGAGAAAAATACACACGACCACGGGGAGAGACACCGCAAACTCTAAATATACAGGTGTCAGGGTTGGGATCGAACCCATGCCCTCCTGCATGCCAGGCGACGCAGTTAACATCTCGCCACTGCAGCACCAGGTTCTCGTACGTAATACTACGACCATATTTGTTTCTAAAAAAAAAAACCTTCAACACATTCATCAATAACTCTGTGGCCTTAAAATAAAACAAATATATAACAGGAGACATTTTGGGCATACTCTTTGGTTCTATTCGGTAAAGTCAGACAGTCTGGTCCCTTCACCTGATGAAGGCCGCTTGTGTTGTGGCCGAAACGTCGTGATTTTTGTTGTTTTATTTTTTACCTACGTGACTTTACCGAATAGAACCAAAGAGTATGGATCCTTGCAGTCACGAAAGCTTCAAATCTAGGACATTTTGGGCAATGGCTTATCTGGCTGCATAGGAAGTACATTTATAAACGCGCAACTCTTATAACCTAAGTTATCACAAGTGCGCAGTAGCACTTCGTAGCACATTTATTATATTATTATAAAATATTATACCAGTGTTATGGATGATTGTGTTGAGTTTTTTTGTTCGTTAATTGTGCTTGTGCACCACTGTCAACATAGCATCACCAAAAAAATGTGATTTTTCTTTTTGGGGTCAGGCCACGTCGTGGTTTTATTGCCGAGTTCATTACTTGATGAAGCTCAAAGCAGTTTGATGTTGAACCCAGTCAAAACAATTCTTAAGTCGCTTTTGAGGAGCATTATTGGGCAGAATGCAATGAATACATTGGCACGTTATGAATAATATATTGATATACGTGACAATCTTGAAACTTTAAACTTAATATTGTGAGCGTTATTGGTCAGGATTTGAGCAATTCAGTGGCACATATAAATAATATATTTGCAAATGTGAAAATATCATCTGGTGTTGGAGGGTGAATGATAATAATTTTGGCATAAAACTATGAATGTATGGGCCCTGGCCCAAAACACAGCGATGGATCGTGGTTTAAAGTGGTTAAAGTGGTGTGAAAAGTGTGCAGGTGAGCACAGAAAATGAACATACTACCATACATACCTTAATACTAGCATACATGATATACTACATAAAGGCATTCTGGTGCATTTAATGTATAATACATGAAGGAATTCAAGTGCATTTATTAAATATTATGTAATACATAATGGAATTCTCGTGCATTTCATGTTTAATACATAAAGGCATTCTAGTGCATTTAAAATACTTGATATGCTCCGGCGATGCCACAATCCATCTGGACCAAATGTGGAGTGCATGGACCAAAACGCAGCAACCAAGTTTTAAAACAAGGAGGCCAACATTCGCCAAGCTTAATCTGACACGTGGCAAAATGTGCCATTAATCGCGGTTGTGTTTTCGTGTTGCGCCTCGCGTCACTTGGCACGATAAATCAACTGAATTGGGAACTGAGGATTTCTCCCGGAACTTAATTGTTCCTGACTAAGCTCCCACGGCATGTGGTAGCGAATCGCCGGCCATCATGCCAAACGACGCGCGATGCGGCGCGTTAAAAAAGCTCGCATGCCGGAGATGGAACCCTGAAAGTTGTTGCGGGTGAGAAAGCTGCGGTAAGCGCCAATGTGAATGATGCAGGCACTGAAAAGGCGACGCCATGAGAGCCGCAGTAAACAAGATACATGGATGAGACTAAGAAGCAACAACAATGACGACGACAAAAGGGCCACAGGCATTGCCGTGCAAAAGCCAGCGGTGACGGTCGCCGGTAACCCACACAGCTCATCAGCCACTCTGTGGCAGCTATTGAAATGCGAATGAATGAGCCGAATCGAATCTTCGTGCGCACGTATAGAGTGGCAGGGCCCAAAATGGTATATCCACCCGTAAAACGAATGACGTAAGTATGCATGTTGAACTTCTTTCGCACCATACGTAGCGAAGTGGAAGGGAAAGAGGGAGCGAGAGCTACCATTGGGAATGCAGTGTGCGGGGATGCGCAGTGTGGTGTGTGTGCAGGCATGTGGAGTAACGTGATGGAGGAACCGCAGGGATGTAATGTTCTTGCGATGGTCAGCACTGACGCAGCAGGAGAAAACACATTTGCCACTTTTCATACTCGCTGTGAGTATCTCTCGATGCTCCAGTTATTCCATAAAATGCATTATCGGTCCACCTTCAGTTGCTGTCCCAGCGACACATACCTGATCAGTTTCTGCAAAATGACCTGTCTTTGTGTATCATTATCCAGGTCTCCCTTTCAAAAGATAACGACAAATAATAAGGTCTCACCTGGTTTAAAGACATTGGACTATGTGTGTGTGTGTGTATATTCGTAAAATAGTGTACTGTATATGGTTCAAATAATTATGAGGATGCCACGGTTGTGAGATGTTAACTACCTCGCATGGTATACAGGAGGTCGTGGGTTCGATCCCAACCCTGATGTCTGTATATTTGGAGTTTGCATGTTCTCCCTGTGCTTGCGTGGATTTTTCTCCGGGTCATCCGGTTTGTCCCTCCACATTTAGAATCAAGACGCGTTTAGACCATTTGGCTGCTATGAATTTCCATAAGAGAAGCCACCTCGCTGAGCTATCATTTGGGGCCAGGTCGATTCTGAAAAAGAGCAATCAAGCTCTCTGGGCCTTACTACCTGGTAAAATAATTTTAACAAAATAGTCAAAGTAATTGGTGACAGTAGCTTGTTAATTCACTGCTGGATGAAGAACTCCCCATGTTGCAATGATCACGGAAAGTTATTGGCAATACTTCACTGCACTGGTCAGTGCGGCTTGGTGAAGAAGGGACCCACAACCGGTTCTGATAGCACTGGCGACCTCGTCATGGCCGGGAATCAAACTCAGGTCACCGAGCTCAGAGGGCAGCGAGCTAACCTATGTGGCTGCCACTTCTCCTATATGGCTCTATGTAGACACATTGTATATACAATAAAGTGAATATTTGTGTGCGTTCATCTAATACGTAAGCAAATACAAATCGTGTACATATATGCGATTGCCCGCTTGGCTTTATACGCGAATGTGTGCAGCGTGACACAATGTAGCAGGTGCAGACACGTATAAATATTGTGGGGCGGGGAGGGGGCTGGTTTTGGCGATCTTGGAGAGACGTCGGCGAGTTGGCTACAGGTGCAGCAGCTGCTGCTGCTGTTGTTGTTTCACGCGCTTCAGTGCCCGGCAATGGGAGATCGCAGGACCTCCACCCCACATCCGAAACGCATCGCTAATTCACACGGCGGCGCAGGGCGCCGCAAAAACGACGCGGCGCAATCGACGCAGAGAACACACGGGCGGACAGAATGCACGTGTGTCCCTTTTAATAAAGAGCCCAACCACCACCCCCCCCCCCCACCTTTTTTTTTAAAGCACGGCAGCACCGGGACCCTTTGTGCTGCATCGCCGCGCGCTTTTGAAATCGACAAAGCGGTCGGGTCAAGGCTGAACAAAGGTGGCCGAGGCAGGGTTTGGCAACTGTTTAATCAGCGCGACTGAGCAAATTTTAATTTCAATGAACTGGATTATTTTGGCAGCTTTTAATTAGAGAAGCATAAACACGTAGGAATAGGACACCGCCTACCACGGCGCCTCTGCAGCCAAACAAGTCAAAACACGACCACGTGGGTTTTCGCGGATGCGCTGCTGTAAGGCTCTCCGAGGGGTTGGTCAGGTTGAGCAGCGCGTCATTCGGCATGATGTCCGACGTTCGCTCCACGTGCCGGGAGATTAATTACGAACGTACGTAGTTTGTAGTGCACTGTGCTACAAACTCGGCGACCCGAGTTCGAATCCTGTTCATGGCCAATGCCAGTGACAATTATCTGAAATGGTCCCGGGCCTCCCCTTGGTTGACTTGGCCTCACATGAATACCTGCTGCGATATGTAAACATTGCCACTAGTATGTATGTTGAACTTCTTTCGCAATCGAACGTAGCCAACCGTGCAAATCGGAGGTGCAGTACAACCGAAAACACATCAGAGCACTCAATAAAAACGCCGCCTCGCATTTCTCTCGACTCGTTATTTCCCACCCCCCCCCCCCCGCAAAGCCTAGTGGCCGAACAAAACCCGCGAGCACTCACCGACGGCGGTGATAAGCGGGATGGTGCACTTGATGTAGCGGTTGGCCGGCACGTAGTAGCAGTGCTCGTCGTTGCAGATGAAGGTGCCCTTCTTGGCCTGCCGGCGCGCCGCCCGCACGATGTAGCCGTACATGGCGCACAGTGCCAGCATCGGCAGCACCGCGCCGGCGCCCAGCACCAGCGCGCACTGCAGCGCCGGGCGCACCACGCCAAACACGGGCCCGCACGACCCCCGCGCGCCGCCCGCCACCAGGCCGTAGCTACCCACGCCGGCGAAGGGCAGACATGCCGTGAGCAGCGCGTACGCCCACACGCCGGCCACCACGCGGGCGCCGCGGGCGCCCGACAGCCCCCGCCCGGCCGACTGCAGCGAGAAGCGGATCTCGACGAAGCGCGCCGCGCTGATCAGCGTCAGCGAGAGCACGCACGCCACCTGCAGCAGCTGGAAGGTGAACGCCTGGGCTTGGCACAGGGTACCGTTCCACTCCGACGTCGCGGCGGCGGCGGCGGCGCTCGCGTTGATAGGGGGCTGCTGCCGGTCGGACGCCGCCTGTAGGCTGCCGACGGCCGCGACCGGTGCCCAGAGTAGCCCCATGAGCAGATCGCACGTGGCGAGGTTGACGGAGAACACGGAGCTCTGGGCGCGCAGCGGCTTGAAGGCGGCGACGAGCACCAGGTAGGCGGCGTTGGAGGCCACGGCGGAGACGCTGGTGAGCAGCAGCAGCGTGCCGTAAGCGTACAGGCCCACCGAATTCCACTGCAGGGCAGACATGCTTCCCCCCCACTCCGCCCCGACAGATTTGTGAAATTAACGGACGGTAGGGAAAATTTAATCTGGGTAAATATTAATCCTGTTTTTTTTTTTTACAACGGTTGAATTTTATGAGCTACAAACAGCAATGACTGATGGATTTAGAATGCCTTTTACATATTGGTAATCCTCCTACCTTCTCATGTGAAGCACTGTGCCAGTGTTCGTTGTGCCCAGGCTCGTTACCGCTATGCAACTGCTGCTCCCTTCTTACTTGTGCTGCTCCCAACCCCAAACCAGCGCTGATTACAAGCAGCACCCCTCCCCCACCTCGCCCCCTCTTCTCCGCAACCTCCCCTTATTATTCTTGTGGGTTGCACTCGTTTACCTGGTGAGCCCCACATCATAGATGGAAAAAAACACTAAGAAATATATGCTTCATCGACCTCACGTGAAATTTGGTCTTTACTCAGTCTGTGCAGTGCAGCGCTCCAATTAAAATGTGCTGGCATGCTGCATCATTTACTCACAGCCTTGAGCTAAGTGATTGGGAGTAGGCTCTCGCTTAATAAATCTTCAGTGCTCCCGGTCGCCCCTCTCATCTGTCACCCTGCGTTGTGAAGCACCTTAAAAGTCAATCATGCTTTGCCCTAATCCTTCTGCTCCTTTGGCCAACCAGTACCGGCTTCCTGCCGCCGCGGGCCAAGCGAAGCGATACCCCACGTGTGGAAGTGGCAACGTCGCGCAAGAGGGGGAACACCAGCGCGACTTCCATTTGCCTAAAGGGGTTTGTGGTGTGTGTGCATGTAATGTGTGTAAGTGCTTGTGTAGCGGTTAGCGCACTGCACTATAAGCCCAGCAACCAGTTCCATTCCCAGCCACCGCTAACATCACTGGTGATTATCTAAGCCAGTCCTGGGTTTCTCCTAGATTGATTCAGCGATGTTTAAACATCAGCAGCGGGGGGACAAAAGCAGTTGGGCATGGTGTTGGCCACACCACCGCATGTACCATTTTGTCCTTCATAGGTGTTCGCTAACAGCAATTGCCCCAACAGTGTATGCAGGCTACACAGGCGAACTTTGACTTGTTTGTATTTATCCTCCTCTTTGAATTCTTTCCAGGCATGCTGTACACAGTGGGAGTACCCACACTTTGCCCCACCGCAAGTTATCTGCCATCGCTCTGCAATGAGACCACTCTTTATCTGCTGGAAGAAAGCATGTTGCATGTGTATGTGCACAGTCCTTTGTCAATTCACTGATGGATGAGGGCCTCCGAAAAATAATGAAAAAGATACAGCATTGTCCTTAAAAAAAATCTTAAAATCCAACTCATCCATAAGCTGCAGATGCATTAACAAGCCGTACGTTTGATTGCAGGTTGCAAAACTGCATAAAATCCTGTTAAATCCAGCGAGCAACACTGTGTGCTGTCGTGCTTGTATGTACGGATGTTGAACTTCTTTCGCACCTTATGTAGCTAAACTTGCTAATCGGAGGTGTTGGGGGGGAAGGCCAACAAACTGAACACACAAATTCTAGATTTGAAGCTTTCGTGACTGCAAGGATCCATACTCTTTGGTTCTATTCGGTAAAGTCACGTAGGTAAAAAATAAAACAACAAAAAAAAAACCTACATGACTTTACCGAATAGAACCAAAGAGTATAAACACAAAAAATCAGTTCTAAAGAAATACGTTTTCAATCTGGATTAGAATTTTTTTTGGCAATTTCACGTGAAAGCAGACAAAAATAGGCTTTTCTTCTGCAACAGATACACTGCTAGAACAAAGTGTCTGCTCCAAGTGAGACGTTCACATCAACACGCAGCCCGCCCTACCCACAGCCAAAATCCAGGCGGCGCGTGCCAGCATTGCGCTTGCGTGCCATTCGTTTGCGTCACAGTGCCATCTGGTGACGCTGCAGGACAGTGACAGTAAGGTGGACAAGTACTGGCTTTGACAATCCACTGCTGGATGACTCTCCCTTCACCGTGCGTATTGTGGGTGGGGGGGCGAATGACTACACGTCACCATGCTGGTCGGTGCAGGTTGGTAGCACAGATGCGAGAGTACACAGTAAAGTACGACAGTGGAGTATACTTCACTGCCCTGAGCTGCATACTACGTAATCCAGCAGCTGCTCCGATACCCACTCTATGTGGTAGTCACCCATCCAAACACGACCCAGTCTCAACCCTGCTTAGCTTCTGGGAACTGATGGGATCAGGTGCATTTTTTCGCAATTTTAGTCAATGGCCACAGTGACATTTCCCACTAAATTACTTGAAGTTAATTTACTGCAGTGTAGTTAGTGTAGCTTTGAATTCAAACAAGTAATGTAACCCACAATACACCAATACCATACATGGTTATTTTATTACAAATATTTAACAGTACATAAACGTTAAATTATAATTACAGAGGGTCGATCTATTGGAGTCCAAAACAATGTTTGTAAAAGTTTTCATAACACAAGAGTACATTAACCAACCGTGCAAGCACTAGAGAAACACTTTGAAAATCCAGCCGGTTATACAATACTACTCACTTTAGCGTAGAGTGAATGTAGCACAACGTCGTTAAGTTAATAACAAAAAAGAAATTGGTCACACTTTAGGACATTGGTTACTGTCATTGGCCACCTAGGCCTCTGCCATGCATGCAGCATGAGAGCCATGTTTACAACTGCTAATAAAAGTCCTGCAATTGAAGTGTTGGGTCTCATGTGTAAGTAGCAAGCTACTTTTCATTCACAATATTTACCAGCATTTGTAGTCTGCCTGTAAATAGAACATGGAGAAATGTCACTTTTTTTCCAGTGGGTACCCATAACACTTTAGACTTGGCAAGGTATCCCGAATTGGACGCTGGAGCTGACGCTACGTACCCACAACCACAAGCCGTGCTGGGCCTCTTGGTATGGCCCAGCACTGCTCGTGTCTCGTCCTAACGCTTGAAGAGTTGCGTGGCTCTGTGGGCTCAACACACCCCGCTCCCTCCACGGCATCTCCGATTAACCGCACCTCCGATTAGTATGGCTGACTACGTACGGTGCGAAACAAGTTCAACATACATACAAATTTTCGTGACTGCAGGGATTCATATTCTTGGTTCTTTCGGTAAAGTCACGTAGAAGGGACTTTACCGAAAGAACCAAGAATATACATACAAGTGATTGTAGTTTTCTTGAACACCGTTTAACGTATGGTTGGGTTGGTTATGCTTTTCTGTTATTGTATTTTTAAACAAATACAAGGCCCTCAAAGTGACCAGAGCTGCTGTTGGCCACAAACCTCTCTTCTGCCCTGACCCTGTGTCATCACGACCGTTTCCGAGGGCGGCCCAAGTGAAACGTGCATCTCCCTTCGCAGAGCGAGCCCCACGGACCACTGCAAGTGGACGACACAACCCAGTTGTAGCTGGCTTGTCCTGGAAAGGATGCCTTACTCGGAACTAAATGGTCACGGGAACGTAATAAGGGCAGATCTTGATAAAGTGGCATTGACTTTTATTCCTCAGCATTTTATTACCAAAAACTATACATATGGTTGATGAGTTAACAACACCCAGCATGTATACACAAGGGGCCCTGTTTTCACAATGTGATGACGCATTAGAGGCAGACGTAAGGGAGCTGAGGGTACTTGGGGGCGGGGGAGGGATGTGTAGGTTTTGACGAAAGAGAAGATCAAACTTCTTCCTCGTTGAGCAGCATGTTGGGGATGCCCTTGGTGATCGGAAACTGGCGCCCCGACTCCGGGCACTGCAGACTGCCCTCCACCACCTCCACCTGTGGGCACAGCTAAAAGTCAAACCCACACAACCAGCTATCCGCTGTCACTCATGCCCTTTTCCACTGGCACATCCGATCCGTTTCAGCATCAGCCCTCTCGGGTACCGGTTGACTTAGCCTTAAATGAGTGCACGGTGCATTGTGCAAACATCAATACTGGGAATATGAAGGAGACGTCACAGCGATACACTCCACTGCTCCTGACGCGGTTATCTGGCTTGACCACCTGAATGCGAAATTGGAGTTGTTGCTCTGCATTTACATCCGCCATACGAAAGTATAATACTGGGAAGAGACAAAGGTGGCCAGGGTGCATGGTTCTAGCCATACAACCCTTTTGCTGCGCACCGTGCCAGCCATAATAGGGGCTTGCTAACAGCACTAGCGCCAACGGTCTGCTGAGGCTACAAGGGGGATCTTTGTCAGTGACAGCTGTATCGAGGGCCCCACCTCCATCAGCACGTGATGAACTTTCTTCAGGAAGTCCTCATTGCCCTGGTAGTTGGGATCTACCTCCAGGGGCAGGTTATTCAGGTGGCCGATCTGCATAGGAAACACACACAAGTTCGTTATTGATGTGCATGTCCACGTACAGTGCTATCATTCCACTGGTGCACGAGGGCCTCAGCATACCACCAGCGTGCGGGTTTGGCCATACTTCACTAAGCTAGTCAGCGAGGGTTGATGAAGGCAGGGAATACAAACGTGGAACCAATTTAGCACAGTACAATGCAATGTCGTTTACAACATGGTTCCTCAGCTGGCCACCACATAACATAAACCGGGAGGCTCATTTATTTGAGATGCAAAAATGTATCTACTCCAAAAATTTTTGAATCTCAGCGATTCGTGATCACAATTGTATCATTCCTTTGTCCAGGCGATGCGTGTAGAATCCACAGACAAAATATTAGCATTTAGATATGTGAAAGATTTAGTTTTTGCTACATTTCCCCAACCCCAATTATAGTTCAACTGCACTATCACCATCGTGAAACGAGACAAAGATATATATTTTAAATCCACGGCTAACAGTGCACCACCTTGGATAAGATAACGGCACTAAAAGAGATCAATGAACTACTTCTGATGTCATTACTATCAACCTCTTTATCCACCCTAAAGGCACACTCTTTCGCCCAGGAAAGAGTGTTCATTGAAATAAATGAAAAATATTTAATGCGATGCTTTCTCTTGCAGTTGTGTGTCATATGACAGTTGTAAACCTTGTTTAATAAAGGATGGACCCGGGTTTAAACCCAGGATCTCAGCAGAACCAATTCAGTGCCCCTTGGTATGAATTCTTACAAGGACGATCAAACGCATACATCATCTTGAGCGTAAGAATTCAATTTAACCCATAATTTATTAAATGTCTATTTGTCGTCAAGACATTATGCTAAGCGACACGCGGTGCAACCTGAAAAAGTACATCGCATGGCTACACACTGAGCTGCTACATTCCACATAATAGCACGAGAAAGCGCTTTGAATGAACGATGCAAGCATCAAAAGCGTGTGATGTGTTTTGCTGAAATGACCACATCAGAAGAGCCACAGCAAATAAGAAACATGATAAAAAGCCAAGAGAGAAGAGGGATAAAACCAACAACAAAAGAACAACACGCAGTAATGACGATTGTTATTGGCATGATTGGATGACAATTAACTGTGGTCGCAATGACATTCACAGATATGAACCTGCAAAATAAAACAAAGCAAAAAAAACATGAAAGTAATGAACATCCACGCACACTCTCAGCGGCCTGGCAGAGCGCCGGCCACTCCAGCTTGGGGATCATCCGGGCCACAAACTCCGGGTTGAAGTCGACATTCATGACCTTCACTTCCGTGGCCTAGGAAGAGCAGAAGAGGGGCATGGATGAAAAGGGACACAGCACAGAGTTTACCACAGCCCATTAATAAGGTTATTCATGTAAACGGAACATGCCAATTCGTTACGAGTTTAGGCACACCAGTGTGTTAGGAGAGTAACTCCACAACGACACATTTATATTTCCGTGATCTAACCCAAAAACCTCTATTATGGATAATATTGGTCGTGAAAGTCAACGCGTTAAACTGAGTTTACCACAGTTTGCCTCTCTCCAAAACGTAGGCGAACGGGCGGGTATCCTGTATGAAACAGGCGAGTGCCCATTGTTACATCGCAGGACCGCGAGAGACACAGGCGGCTTTATCCAGCAGTGGATTGATAATGGCTGATGATGGGCCATCAAGCAAGGTGATAGAAAAAGGTGGGGCTTCAACAGTATTTGTAAAGCCTTCAGAATGATGACAAAACAGTACATTTAATTAGCTGCAACAATAGCAATGCACTGTTAGATTTTAAATCGCAACACATACATGTTCATACATCGTTCAATCCACCGCTGGATGAGGGACCTCCCCACACCGAGTCGGTAATATGGATTGTTTGACCATACTTAGCTGGGCAGTGCAGGTTGGTGAAGGCGGGGGCATACACGTGTGGGCAAAGGAGTACAGTACAACGGTGAACTCTGCATAACTGCCCCCTGCTGCACTCAGTAGCCCCCTACCTATAAGAACGCCCTGTGCAGATGGTCGTCCATCCAAACACTGTGCAGTCTCAACGTAGTCCGTGAGCTTAAAACCAGATGCAGTATCACTTGTCAGTACCACCTGAGGTGGCATACATTTAGCGATTCAAATTTCTTTGTGGCCGATAATAGTGAACGATAGGATACACATTCGTACCGAGTGGGTTATCAAGTAATTCACTCGCATCAGCCGTGTAAATAAATTGGTAGAAATCTTGACTTAAAGCTTCGTGACTGCAAGAATTCATATTATTTGGGTATTTCGGTAAAGCCACGTAGATAGAAAAATAATTTTACAAATATTATTTTTCTATCTACGTGGCTTTACTGAAAACCCCAAAGAATATAAATTGGTACAACTAAAATATGACTCTGTAACTTAGCTGGCACCAAATGCCTACCTTGGTCACGGACTAACGCCGCTTTGCGTTCAAGACTGGATACATTCCGAGTGATCGATAGCCGTAAACATGTTCAGTATTTACAATTAAGATTTAAAAAAGTATATGCACCTGCGGTTCCTAATTTGAGGTACCAAGCGGACCCCTGCTTCCCCCCAAATATAGAAGTCAAACTCCGCCTATGCCGATATAGAGCACTACAAGACGGCACAAGTATACACATGCATACGGTTATCAATGCGTTACAATACAGTACATACAGCAATGACTTTAGCCTTCAACCCGCACCGACCGGATAGGTGAAGTATGGTTAAAACTTCATGTGACTTTTACCCTTTATGGCAATAAAAAACAGGTGTTAAGACAATGCATATACTACCAGACCATGTTTTTTGCATGTTCACCACAAGTTTATTTGCCTAATGCAGACATGACTGCTTGTAAACAAGCTCCCCGCGCCCCCCATCACCGAGTCAATGCCAGCTCAACAGTCCTCTCATTAACTATCTCACCATGTTATCCGTGCACTGAGCTACATGTAGTTAGTCGTCAAAATGATCATGAGTTTTATCGACGCACAAATACCCATAGAGGAACAGGCACGGTGGCACCTCAAGCCCCCAAGGTGCGGGACCAGACACCTCACCGTAATCTTGAGAGGAAATCCCTTGGTGACGCCCTTGACGTGCGAGGTGAGCATATTGTGCGTCAACAGCTTCATGCTTTGTGCGGAGTCGTTCCCGCGATATTTGTTGGAGCTATCAATGAGCTGCGGTGATGATTCTTCTCTCGCAGCAAAACGTGGCAGGCCGCGACAGCACGTGGCGTCAAGATCGCCGCGCTCTATCCCCCTCCCCACCCCGGCCCCCGTAGAAACGACAGAGCGATGTGGTAGGAAAAGTTCCGGCTCTCAGATATTGGTTCCGGCTATGCGCTTGATGGTCGTGAATGAATTACGTCACGCATATAGAGGGGAGGGGGGGCGGTCAGATATTTGTGACGATATGTGACGAGGAGGGGGGGGAGATGTGACGTCACATGAAAATGCGCAACTTTAAATAAATGTAGACAACACGTTCTACATAATTAAATATATATTACTGGTTCTTTCGGTAAAGTCACGTAGAAGGCAAACAATAAAATAATAAAAACACAAAACAATAAAATTCGCATCACTTGATGATGATTGCTTGTGTTTGTAGTCGAAACGTCGTGCGAATTTTATTGTTTTATATTTTTATTATTTTATTGTTTCCCTTCTACGTGACTTTACCGAAAGAACCAAGAATATGAATCCCTGCAGTCACGAAAGCTTTAAATAAAAATTTAATTAAATATACTTTTTAATAAATGTTTTCTCCTACAACATCAGAGTTTCAGCGGCACATTAAATACGCACTACAATGACAATAGTTTAAAGCGATTTGAAGCATGTTTTATTTTGGGGGAGGGGGGGGGCAAAGCTTTGTGACGTCATATTTGAGGGGGGTCTGACTTTTTATGACGCCGTGTGACGAGGGGAGAGGGGGGGGTCAAAAATCGTCCAAAATCGCGTGACGTCATTTATGGACGGCCCCTAATACAAAAAACAATAACAACAACATGTTTTGATTTAAAGCTTTCGTGACTGCAGGGATTCATATTCTTGGTTCTTTCGGTAAAGTCACGTAGAAGGGAAACAATAAAATAATAAAAAATATAAAACAATAAAATGATCACGACGTTTCGACTGCAACACAAGCAATCATCATCAGGTGTGAAAACCACAACAAGAATATTTGAAAAAAGTGGCGTTTTTTAAATTAACGTTATTAACGTTGTCATCTGGGCTTTGCGCACCACTGCCAACGCAGCAGCAGATAATTTGAACAATGAGAATTCCCTCATCAAAACGCTACACCATAGAGCTCAATCTATCTCCGACCATGAACACCTGACCAGTGAACTCAAACACGTACACCAGGCTCTCAAGGCGAATGGATATTCTGACTACACAATCAGCAAAGCCATCACCACCACCGTGAGGAAGGAGCCATCTGAAGATCCAATCAAAAGCATCACATTGCCTTACATAGCAGGGATAACCAAAAAGATTTCCCAAATCTTGAACAAACACAAGATCCAGGTCCGATTTTACGCAGTGCATAGAATTCGTGACCTGATCCCATCTGTGAAGGACAAGATTCCTGACATGCAATACCCCGGCGTCTACAAACTAAGCTGTGTCTGCGGCAGCAGTTACATTGGGGAAACTAAGCGACGTTTCGGACCGTGTTCGTGAACATAAGGCAGATCTGAAACACGGCAGGACCAATACTTCTGCCGTGGCTGATCATTACTTTAATGCGGCTGGCTCACATGAAATTGATTTCTCTAAGACGATGGTACTTTGCAAGCCGACTGGCTATCAACAAAGATTCGTTCACGAAGCCATCCATATTTACAGACACAGACACAATTTCAACCGAGACGACGGTTTTAAACTCAGCAATCATTGGAAAGATGTCATCAACCACTTTGGGTCATGACTTGATTTGTGTTTGCCTTGTCAACCTCTACCGTCAGCAGTGTGGGTGTGTGGAGCGAGGTGCAATGCCCCCCCCCCCTATCTCTACCCACCTCTCTCCCTTTATATCTGCCCCCCCTCTCTCCCCCCCTATCTCTACCCCCTTCCTCCCCCCCCCCATGTCTGACTGGCTGCCCCGCCCATGCTGTTCACGCTGCATAAGCTCCCCTCCTCCCCCCAACTCTCGTCCCCCGCCCATTCACTTTGGAAACCCTTATAAGGAGTTGCATTCGGAGGCTTGCCCTCTTCCCTCCGCCTGATGACGACCGCTTGTGTTGCGATCGAAACGTCGTGGGTTCTTTGCTCTTATTTTTATTTTATTTAAAATTGTATTTTATTATTTTATTTTCTAACCAAAAATATTTGAACAATGGTAATTAATTCGTGATATTTTTTTTAAACGATGCTGATAAAAATGATTATGACCATTATGATAATTCTGAATGACACGACAACTTAATGGAGGTAAAACGTGATACATTTGTGAACGACTATTTATTATGTATGACGATAATTTGTTATTGATCACGGTTATGATGTTTGACACAGCAATTTAAATACAGCATATGAAACACAACAGAGCGCTGAATTTCCACCCCCACTGTTCAGGGTGGTTGATAAAAGAGGTGCCGCTTAATGGAGGAAGTCAACCTTGCTTCCCCGATGACACGTGGACTCGCCCCTGCTATAGGCACGTGGAATTTCCACCACTGCCTTCGTGCTGTGAACAGGAGATCATCGCTGGTATTACACTCGTTTGAATGGGAAGCCACTGACACACATATATATAAAAAACTTAGCATGAGCAGCATTTTAAATATATCAAAATAAAGGCCCGTTTAATACATTAAAAACATTCACATTACCTTACAGTGTGGAAAGTAAAACAGAGTTCACCTAAAATATATACATGTAGTACAATTTGTATTGATGTAGCATCTAAATGCAACCACACCATGGAAACGGTATGAAATAACATTTACACGCAAAAAAAATCACACCTTTCTCAGCATTATTGCGAATTGAATTTGACTCCCAGTATAAACATGCAACGTTGCGTTACGTTTGAAACCATTGAATCAACGTTCGCCCCACGTTGGTCCAACGGTTTAATGTTTACTGGATCGTTATGTGTTTTTCCCCTCACAAAAAAAACATGAAATTTGGCGCTTTGAGATATTTGTGAAAGGCGCCTTACAAGTGAAAAACCCACCAAAAATAATTAATTCACCACCACTTTGAATGTGCCATTATTCCTCATGTCTTTCATCCTAAATCTACACGAGATACACGACCCTTCCTGCCCACGTGATGGTGCTCATAATGGGACATTGCGCCTCATCTCGGCTTGTCCTGAAGAAAATACATTCATCATTTCGTAAATAAAATGTCCGATAGACAAATGGCTTTCCGTTTCCCCAGAACGTGAGTTAATTTATTCTTCTTCGCGATCGCCTGTCATGCCATTAACATTCCCACTCGGTCAATTCACAGATTTTTTTTTGTTCCATTCCGCGTGCGGTCAGGGTAGATTCTAAAAGAGCGAGATGGCGGTGCGCATTCTCCCACTTACATTGAGCCATCATCTGTGAACCATGAAATGGAGGCTTCTTAGCATTTGTGCCAGGTGGCTCAAGGCTTAGAGACAATGAGCCAGAAGCATTGCCATCCTGGGTATCAATCGTGGGTTTTAGTCACTCGCAATTAGACCGGGCTTTCAAGTGTAGAGTTGATGGTGTTAGCCATTGGTAACTGCAAAAAAAAACCCCACAATCTTAAATATGACAAATTATATATTATCTTTGTTCGAAGAATATAAAATATTTGGCGGTACTGCATTGGTATTGGTGCACAAGCACAGGTAACAATAACGCAACACATATGTCAATAGTATTGCCTTAAAAGACAATCATATGTAATAGGCAATTGCCTGACAAAATGTTTTTTATATCCTTTTAAGGTAGTGTCATTGACCAATGTGTTGGGTTTTTCCAATATTAAATTCGCTTTATAACTTACTTTGCATATATTCAATCTCTGAAAATTAAACAATATTTCAGCTGGACAGCCATGCAACAAGCACTTGTCTGCAGCAAGACGTGTATGAAAGTACACCTCGGATAAATAAAATACATACTTGTTGATGTTGCGTTGGCACAAGCACAATTAACAACAAAACTGAACACAATCATGAATATTACTGTGGCCTAAACAGCAAATATCTAACATGCGATGTTTCAGCAATGACCCTTCTTCATAGCAGAGGATTAAAAAATGGTCACTTGAACGGAGCTCGGGATAAGTTTCCTGCACCCCCGATTAGCACGATCGGATATGCACGGTGCGAAAGAAGTTCAGCACACAAGTTCTGTGACATCTGTGTCCGCGGGCCATTCAGATTGAGATATTCTGCAAGCGTTCCGAACGGTCTATACATCTAATAGCTCGGTGCCAAGAGCACAACTGGAGATGAATATTCAACCTTACAACTCGACCCAACCAAGCCGTTTAAATATAATAATGATAATAATGCAGTTCAACTTTGTATATCTGACAGTCGCATATCCACCAAGTTCACTGCCAGCACGCAGTGCAGTTTTGTGTGCGCCATTTTCTCTTGACGTTTACAAATTCGACCTTTTCACAACGCAGAAACGCATTCTTAATCTCGCGCACATTCGCTCACGTCTAAAGTTCAGATTTTTTTTTTTAATTTCCCCCACGCTTAAAGCAATGCACGCTATACAGTATTGTCATCCTGTAACTTATATGTGTACGGTGCGCAACTGTCATTTTCTAGAGATGTTCATATCCGACCTTTTGAGATATCCACCGAAACATGAGTTTCCACCTGGTCACATGTGTGGCGTTGCATTGCAAAATTGCATTCATTTATTTGTTTTAAGAGCGACTCAATTCCGTTGGATTCGCTGTGTATTTTGTCCGCATTCCTATTATGTGAACCACATCGGCTTTTTCGTAAGACGGCTCAATTGGCCCCCAGATTGGTCATTGCCAGTAAGGGCTTCCTGTGCTCTCTCCGCTCGGCTAATTTGGCCATGGCAAATCATTTGCAGGCACGGTCGTGACACCGCTACGTACACAACGACTTGGCTCTCAAGTGTCCCACAATTATTCACATCTGATCAACAAGCAGGAGGAACATCCAACTAATGTAATTTGTGCAGTAGATTTAATTTGCATAATTTAAAGGGCCGTTCCAATAATTTACTTTAATTACCTTGCACCAAATATTGTTGACGTGAGGACATTGTGGTGGATTCACCTGATGATTATTTTGCTTC